CCCACCCCTCCCTCTACCCCCTGCCCTGTGCCCCGCCCACCCCTTGCCCAGTATACCTTGACAGTGATGCCCTGGTATTCACTGGGCATTGGTGTCTCAGAGATCTGTTTGTCCATCTCTTCCCAGCAGTGCTTCATGTTCCAGGCTGAGTGCATGCAGAGTGGGCAGCGGTATCCTCTGGGAACAAGAGGCGAGATGGGTAAAAACAGGAAGTACAAACCAAGCACGTAACCTAGTAACACACCAGGGCTAAAAAGCATGCTTATCTGAGTTTGACCGAGCTCACATTTAATACAGTTTTTTTGGGGAAAAAACACTACAACCCTTTAAATAGCAATGAAAATTCCAATTCAGATAAAAAAAAAATAATCACCATGATATATTCAGAATAGATTTTAAATATTTGTAGTTCCATACTACTAGTATTAGGCTTCCCCCAAAATCCTCCAAAAGAGTAAGACACAAGCCCTATACAGCTGAATTATCTTTCCTGAGGTGCCATTTAAGTCTGTATATTTAAACGCCGGGAGAAAAACTACAGACAGCAAATAGTTTGATCAAAAAAGTGCCTGGAAACCATGTAACTGTAAGCAAAGCTTGGTGATGTGGAAGTCTGGGATGAGCATGAGATCTATCCCCCAGCGCTAGTCACCTATGGAACGGCACTTTTTTTTTTTTTGCTCAGTGGGGGGACTTTTCCTGCTACCACTGCTATTCAGGTTAGAGAATATCAGCCTGGCTAGAGTACATGTAAACCCCAACTATTAAAAAGGAACAAAAGAGCAAATTACCCCATTTTATGCATGTAATCAAAGCAGGTCCTGCAGAAAAACAAAATAAAAATACACCCTTTCAGGATATCTGACATGGCATTAAAATTCAATTTCTAAAATAAATCTGAATCTGCATGGATTATAGGTACCTAAATTTACCATCAACAGGTCATCTTGGACATAGTTAAGCTTTACCAAAGAAGTGTCACGTAACCATGCGGACCATGCAGAGAATTCTTGGTGAGATATTACAGTTAACGACAGACTGAGGTCTCTGCTGGCTTACAGAGGGCTGCAGAACCTGAGAGCCTGAGGCTGGGGGGGGACCGGGACACATACTGGTGCAGCAGGTGGCCACACGGAAGGACGTGAGCTCCAGTTCGGGAAGTATGGATGTCCTTCATTCAAAAAGAGAAATGAAAATGGATTTACCACGACACTGGTTGGACTGAAATGGTCAGTTTAATCATAACTGGACTTGTTTTTGCAAAAGAATTCAGATCCCTACCTCTAAGCAGACTGGACAGTTCTGTCTGGAGACATCCGGTACACACTTGGAGAAGAAGAAGAAAAAGGTTTACAACACACCACCATAACCAATTCCCATTCTGTTTGGGAAACTATGCTCCAGAAAATGTTTAATAATAATAATAATAATAATAATAAAAATAAATGTAAGTTTTCTTTTTGTGACAAATCTGTTCTTTAACAGTGGTGAATACCTTGTGATTTCCTCGAAGGTTGCTGGCTAAACACAGATTACACTTCTCACAGTGGAAATAATTTTCTTTCGGCCCAATTCTGTAAGTTTAAAACAAAGTCAATTAAACCTAACTGACATGCACATTTACATCAAACATGATTTGAAGATTCAGCAGTTGTTTCTAACCCCACAATGATTTGTAATTAAGGGTTTTTATCCCAATCAATACTAACATTCATTACTACCAACCAGAATCATTCTTTTCAGTATTTTATTAACAGCCCATGCAATGTCACATTTGTACGGAGCCTCTTAGAGGTCAGGATGGGAAAATATTTTTTGAAATACTTTTGCGATCCCTCACAATACTTTTCCATTACTAATAATAACTGTACTGTGTCCGTTTAAAGTACAAAACACAGAATTAATTGACTAATAAGTATAAACCTAAAATGATAGAGACACATCCAGTTACGTTTGCTTTAGCCATTCGTTATGTGTTGTGGTGGTGGAGGTTGACACTAGGTGGCAGTGTGGGCTGAGCAAGCTACAGGTCATGGTGCAAGAGGGGAGAGAAAAGCCTTAAAAGGACGTGGTCAGGGGGCGTAAGGTGAGGTGGCAAGGAGATCATATGGTTTCACCGCTCATATGCCATAAACGATAGTAATCCTTACGTTGTGATCATTGTAACCTTTTGTAATATCGCTATTAAATGGGAACTTGACACAAAGGTTAATCGAATGTGGATCTCAACTTACTAGGTATCGTTATTGGCATGTCGAGTAATCAACAGCATCTAGCTGCCTTTGGAGTGGAGTGGACGTGGTTGGGTAGTCACTACACCCCCAATTGCCCGAAAAAGGTCAGACCCTGCCTTCTCAATTGGAAATCATTTTGGTTGAGCATATACTAAAGATATAAAATGTGTGTAAAGGTCTAACCTATATTTGTTTGTCCTGTTCTTGTTGCTGTATGCACAAGAATATCCCCCCAGGGATCAATTAATGTTATTTGCTTTTAATCGCCGAACACAACACAGTCCATATATTTCCACATACAGCTGTTCAACAGCATGCAGTGACAGTGCAGTTGAAAAGGTGCTAAGTTCAAACAGCAGCACGCTCATCAGCCCAACAACCTACCTGGGATTCATTAACACTTTGAGACAGACTTAACTCCAAGTGCACTCACATCAAATTCAAATTCAGAATATTTGCCAAATCGCCCAGAAAGGAGCATGGCATTCTACACAAGGGTGTCACCAAGCAAAGCGCAATCACAGAAAGGGAAGGTGCTCCCACCTGCAGATGCCACATGGCAGGCAGTGGTACTGCTTCTTGTCCTTGTCAAACAGGTGACAGATACTGCAGTAATATTCCCCAAACGCCACCCTGCACTTTTCGCACATCTGCTGGGACTGGAAAGCACAAATTAATTATAGCACCATAATACCAACATTGTGATTTGAACAAACTCACCCTGTGTGAATCTGCAGTCACAATATACTAAATTATGTTGGTTTGTAATAATCTCCTGCAGCCTAAAAGTACTCTGATCAGGGATGCTGTCCATCAGGACTCACCATTTTACTTGACAGATGCATGTTCAGCATGGTCAGATTCTTCCCTCCTAAGTCTGTCTTCCAAACAAGCTTTGGTGTACAGTAAAGCACTAGGTACCAGCTGACCCTACCTGCTGGACAGTATCGCAAAGGCTGCACTTGACCTCCGTGACCCGGAAACGGTCCATCTGGTGATCCTCCACGTCGTCATGGCAGAGTCTGCAGACGTAAAACTTTCCACAGCAAGGAGCCTTAAAGGGGACAGGCAAAAAAAAAAATTAAGAAAAAAAAACGTCCAGAACTATGGCGAACGAAACGCAACAGCCTTATAACACGAAACAAACAAGAAAGAGTATGAAAACAGCAGGGGAAAAAAATAAAACAAAGAATGCACCTCGGAAACCTCCATGGCCCTCGCTACATCTTCGGGAAGTACCAGGCCGCGCTTTGGTGCAAATGTACATTTTAACAATTTAAATATACTATCTACACTAGTGCCATATCGGCGACGAGATTAAAAAAGCAGGCAGGTATCCTGCAGCACAAACTAGCTAGTTAAGGTCTGAAATGGCACATCTAAATATTAACTACAAAATACATATTCAGAATGAAATCAGTCAGTCGTTTAAACCTTTACTTGACTATGGGCTGTCAAACAATATCGATATTTTGCTCGATCTGATAAAAGAACATTAAGAATATAGATCGACTGGCCAAGGTGGACGGTTCCTGCTGTGCTAAGGCTAACGCAGCCTAGCGTAGCAGTCATAGCAACACTCAAAGCGCAGACAACGATGATTTAAATATTTCGGTGCATTTAACACAAAAACAAATGTCTTACTTTGAGCAAACAACTCCGCACGTAATGCTCACATCCACACTCACAGGCTGACATATTTGCTGAGTTTGTGTCACACAGAAACACGTCCGACCTGCATTCGCCCTCCACAACTTGACGGTCCGGTTTCGACTGTACATTGGTCCTCTGTTGCATCGGTCCAAGCTTTTCGTCAATGAATTATTTTATTTGGACTGTTATAAAGTGAATGCATTTAAGTTGACATAGTTACAGATTGTTTGGGAAGTACAAAATGTGTCGTTTGCGGCAATAAAGAAGCAAAATGTGTAAATAAGGTATATTTTGTAAGGTATAGTATACTAGGCGAGAAAGGATGGTAAAAATATAATATTCTGTTAGAGATGCATAGGAGCACATAATAATAATAATAATAAACAATTATTCACTAGTATAATGGGCCAGAGGAATAAGAAATTATAAAATGCACATATATTTCAAGTTAGAGCAAGAAAACAACATAGATGTCAACCAAGCTGCAGAGTGAGATGGGCGATAAAAACAAAAAAACCTTCTAGAATTTGATGGAAACAGTAAACGAACTGATAAAAAAGGTGGAGTCAGTCCACTGAAGTAGTCCCCCACGATAAACCGTATGACTTGACACATGACACCAAGTGTGAGAATTACAGTCTTCTAAAATGTCTAACGTGTAGCATAAAGGAACTACTTTAAGTAGTGTGTTATTGTTCTGAAATATCTGTATTAGTGTCTTCTTCACTATTGCTGAGTGAAAGAATGTTTTTGACTGTTTACTGAATCTAATTGTCCTGTTTGGATAGTAACACAAACAGATGGATTATCAGTGGAAGATCAGTGTTATTGTGAAGTAAGTCACTTGTGTCCTTCGCAAGCGCCTGTGTAAGATAAATGTACATTTAATTATACTATTTGCACTTAATACTTTTCCACATGGGTAAGCGGCTCACAAGTGTACATACAAGTAGGTTACAGTATATTAGCCGAATAATGAGATTTACAGGGTGGCTGTCTGGGGAATGCATGCTCTAAAAAGCAGAAAACTCTTTAACAGTTAAAACAAACAAATCATGGCATTTAGTGTATTGAGGTCTTGTGTTACTTTTGCAGCCTAAGATTGGAAAGTTCTTTCATCATCATGTGTAGTGTGTTGTATGTTTAAAAATAGCCTCTGATAAATGCACAGCCAGTTTAATCAATGGTGGCAAGGTGTTAAGAGTTTTGGAGGAGTTTATTAGAACAGCTAGAGTGGGCTAACATGAGATTGGAAAAGACTCCTCAGTAAGTACAACAGAATACAAAAATCAAATGGTTGATGTATAATGAGCTTTACTAGCAAATATTAGATTTAGTGATGATTCCTTCCTAGTGCATTGATGCAAAAGCTCTGTAAATACAACAGATCACATGGGAAATTAGCTGAGTCAATTAAGAGATTACCTGAAACATCTGAGTTGAAAGATGTTTTGAGCAACAAATTGTATGCCAGACAATATGTTAAAGGAAACTATGATGTGGGCCATAAAAGTGAGATCCCGGCATGAGGATACTTGAAGTCATATGGATGATTTGTGTGTCATTTAAGAACTTCCTGCATTTGATTTAATTCTCCTGCCTTTTTCACCTCAAGTGGCTTGATTGCATGGACTTATGCTGGGAGCCTACTGACACCAGACGGAGGGCGTAGCGTATAGCTTAATGGAATTATCTTCTTTTAGATGGCCTCTCTGAATGCATACCCACAAGCGGGGAGTATCCCATTTGTCTTAACCGTTCTCCAGCACACCAGTGATTACTCCATCTTAACCCAGTTTCTGTCTGCTTTTTTAGAAACATGGCAAATTATTTCTCTATCTGCAAGGTTCTTTGTTTGTCTTGGGTTGAATTATAAACAAAACCTCCATATTTGTTGGAAAAAGAATGGATGAATATTTATCTTGAAGAGCATAAAAGTCTGGTGCAAAACAAATAACGCAAAAGCATAATATATATTTAAATGTGCAAAAATGTATTTTAAATATTATATGGCATTATTAAATATTCTATATGGATATCTTTGTAGATTAAATGCAGATTTTAGTATGTAAAGATGTTACTACTGTTTGCGGGATAAAAACAGATAAGCTGAAATAGAAGCCAGTTTTATGGTGAAACCATCACAAATAAATACAGTGGTTATGTAAAATATTCACACCCCCCACAATGGATGGGCAGCATACAGACAAAAAGGGCAGTGTGGTAGAATGGGCGGATTTTAACAGTCAGGGTGGGGGTCCCTGGTGCAGTTTATCAGTTTATCTAGGAGGCAATTGACTCTGTATTTAGTGATGTCATTGGACTGGGGCACATGTCACATCACTATATAATCAGTTCAGCATTACTGTTTCATTCCACTAAATATGGTTTGTATTTTTTTTTGGTGAAAGAAGTGGCTGTAGTAAAGCAAATCATTTTGACAGATCTTAAATAGCTGATTATAAATAATAGTCTGAAAACCAAGGGCAAACAAGGTCAAGGATCTATCTACCAAACATTTCATTAAAGGCGGTGCCCAAAGTAGTGTAATGAACTACTGAAAGCATGGTCCTACTGGATATTTTTGGTGTTATTCTTGAGAAAAGGATGTTTCCATTTTCCATTGGCTGAATGAAAATAATGAGACGTAAATTGTATGTAAATTATCTGTAATCGTACTGTAAGCACACAGATCCTCTCAGGCGGCAAACTTAGAAACAGGGCAGCACCCCATGTGTCACTCGCTCTGCCCCACAGAGAGCATTAGGGATCAGTAATGCGTCCCTGATTTGCACTGCTTCGTCCTCCAGTGACTCCTTCAGCCTCTGAAGCTGACAGAAGACCGTCAGGATGTCGGGTCTCAAGAAAAGGAGACAGAGCCTCTTTCCAAATTACAAGTTTGGAGCTTCTGCTGCCGACGGCCCAGAACTCGAGGTGGACCAGAGCCTGGTATTCTTCAGGAACAGATGGGTGAAGCCCTGGAGCTCCATGCAGGAGCTCAATCAGGGTATTTATGACCTCTATGCTGAGGATGAAAATGAGGAGGACAATGAGAAGCATCACACAGCATCTGGGGTAACCTCGCCCACCAAAAACCACATGCTGAACCTTAACGTAGGGGGCAGGACTTACCAGATTACCTATGGGGTGGCTGCAAGATTCCCCAAGACCAGAATCGGACAACTGGCCACTTGCAGGGACCACAGCAGGAAGCTGGAGTTGTGCGATGACTACCTGGTCCACAGCTGTGAGTATTTCTTTGATAGAGACCCAGACATCTTCCTCAATGTCTTTAACTTTCACCGTACTGGAGTGCTCTGGGTGAACGATGAGCTGTGTCCACGAAACTTCCTAGAGGAGATCCATTACTGGGGAGTACGGATCAAAAATACACCGCGGTGCTGCCGGATTGCCCTGGAGGAGAGGCAGGACGACATCAACGACAAGCTGAAAGTCCAACGGGAGCTTCAGGCTGAGATTATTGAAGACAATGAGGAGCTTTTCCAGGAGATGATGTTCGGCTCATATCGCAGAGTCGTCTGGGACCTGATGGAAAAGCCGTTCTCCTCTGTCCCAGCCAAGCTGATGGCCGTAGCGTCCAGCTTCTTCGTCTTAGTCTCCCTAGTGGCCATGACTCTGAACACAGTGGAAGAAATGCAGTACCAGACACGTGACGGCCAGCTAAGTGGGCGGACCTACGGCGAGCACGTAGAGACCTTCTGCATTGCCTTCTTCACTGTTGAGTTTCTGCTGCGTTTGGTGTCCACGCCAGATCTCCGCATCTTCATCACCAGCATGTTGAATCTCGTGGACCTGGTTGCTATCCTCCCACTTTACCTGCAGGTGGTGCTGGAGATCCTGGAGAGTCAGGACACTGACAGGCAGGATGGGGATAACGCCATAGGCCGGGTTGGCCAGGTAGGCCAGGTGGGCCTGGTGCTGCGGATTATGCGCCTTCTTCGGATCCTGCGCATCCTAAAGCTGGCGCGGCACTCTACGGGCCTGCGAGCTTTCGGCTTTACGCTACGCCAGTGTTACCAGCAGGTGGGCTGCCTCTTCCTCTTCATCGGCATCGGCATCTTGACCTTCTCCGCCATGGTCTACACTGTGGAGCACGATGTTCCCCAGACCAACTTCACCAGTATCCCCCATGCCTGGTGGTGGGCGACTGTGAGTACATGACTTTCAGAGCGTTTACTGTTAGTAAAACTGGTATATTTTTTTGCTTAGGTAAAGCTTTACCCAAAGTGATTTATACAGTAACGCTAACCCATCTAAGCTGATATCCATGCAATCATCCATCTTCCAATTGCTCACTGAGTGCAGGGAATCAAAGAACGTACATAAAGATAAAAATAAAATAAAGTGCATTTTTAGATTGGAATGTTATTTCCCAGACTATAACTTTTATTGTTGCTTTTCATAAAACAATTTTCTATTTGTATATGTTGAATTCAAAGATTCATGGTATATTCTAAAAGAAAGTGGGGTGCACATTAATTGTTTATCCAGCATGTTCAGAGTGTTTCATCTGTCATGATTTTGTATGTTCAAATTCAAAGCACTTCATCTGGTATTCCTTATAAAATCTGCTAACGCTACATAATACCCAGCATGAATTAAGCATCCAGAAGCCAGTATTTGAAATTCTAAAAATAACTTCCTTCCTTCAAACACAGTATTCTCTTTGCGGAATTGCATATTTCCCTATATGTGGAATGGGCATTTGGACAGTAACATTCCATACTGTACAGTAATAACATTCTATGACAGTATTCTGCTACTAGAATTCTATATGTCACCAAGTGTGGTATTCTGAGCCTAAATATTCTGTACGACACCCAGATGGTAATGCACAGCAAAGGCCCAGCTGCTCCCTAATACTTGGTACTCCAAGCACACCCCTGACCTGCTCTGACACCTGTGTACCTCTTTTTTACAGATTAGCAGCCTTCACCTGTTTGGGACACCCATTTCCTTTAGAATTAGGTGACCAGTGGTCATTGTTGACACACCACAGCACAACAATGAAATGTGTCCTCTGCATTTAACCCATATGTGACATCATGACATAACAGGGGGCAGCTAATTCAGCACCCGGGGAGCAGTGCTTGGGGGTGGTGCCTTGCTCAGGGTACCTCAGTGGTGCCTTGCTGGTCGGAGAATCGAACCAGCAATCTTTCAATTACAAGTGCGCTTCCCTAACCATTAAGCCACCCCTGCCCCTTTGTTGTATGGAAATGCTACCATAGTAACCACATAGTGTACGTACACGGTGTAGTAGCCATGTCATTACTGTAAGGGCCTTAACTGCTCTGCTGCATTCTCCAGGTGAGCATCACCACTGTGGGCTATGGAGACATTTACCCCGAGACCTTCCTGGGCCGTTTCTTTGCCTTCGCCTGTATCTCCTTCGGGATCATCCTGAACGGCATGCCCATTTCTATGCTGTTCAACAAGTTTTCTGACTACTATAACCAGTTAAAAGCCCACAAGCACGCCTCTAAAAACCAGCACCGTGAGAAGGTGAAGTTCGCCCAGCGGGCCTTGAGGAAGATGGTGGAGTGCTGCAGGGAGGCTTCCAGCTAACGTCCAGTAGGCCATCAGACAGTGTCAACCCCACAGGTCAAAGACTCTCATGCTGTTAGCAGGGACATTCTGTGTCCCATTACCAAGTGCTCAGGAGGGGTTTCAAACTGTATATCTCACTGACCTCAGCACTTTCATCTGACTGCATATTAAGTGGACCACAAACCAAATGGTCCAATGACAGTTGTCACTGCAATGGTCAAATCACATGACTAGCTCTAGTACAGTACATGTGTCAATTGCAATTTTAGCCTCTGCATGCTAGCTAGCTACACTGAAAAACAAGAAAATGGAACAGGGCCTTCAGTTGTGACAGGTGCCAATTTTAAATGTTGTTTTGCAATATACAACCGATCATACCTGTTGGTGTCAGTGTGGTTCTGTTACACATATCAGAGAGACACGTGAAGCACATGGATATGACTAAAGTGACACCACTCATCTCTTTGTTGTATTTGCTATTTTAAGTTTTGAAGGAAATGCAGGCAGCTGTGAAGTTCCCAGATTAATTTGATATGTGCATGTAATGAAATGAAATTCCTGACCGGCTTTCTGTTGATTTCTTAGTTCAAATTCGGTAGGATTTTAAATGATAAAATATATTTAACAAAATACCCACATATGTACAAGCTCACACATGGTCATTTAACCATTAGGTTTCAGGTCCAGACAGAAATAGTCCACAGCAGCTATATAATACATGTCACAGGCAAGCCTAAAGCCCGATTCAGAAAGAAAGGGCTGTAAAGGCCAACCATGGCTAGCACTGGATGCTAGTCCCCAAAGGGTATGACCGTGGGCTGTGAGGAGAAGCACATATTAACATGAGAAACATGTGAAAATGCCGCACACACATCTACACATGGATCCCAAAGACCTTTAAGTGTGAGGGCACAGTGGTGTCCACTGAACTGCGGTTTGGGTGGATCCCAATGCCCCAGTGCAGTGATGGGGACACTGGCCAGCAGGTTAGCCCGTCCTGTGGTCTGTATGGATCCCAATGCCCCAGTGCAGTGATGGGGACACTGGCCAGCAGGTTAGCCCGTCCTGTGGTCTGTATGGATCCCAATGCCCCAGTGCAGTGATGGGGACACTGGCCAGCAGGTTAGCCCGTCCTGTGGTCTGTATGGATCCCAATGCCCCAGTGCAGTGATGGGGACACTGGCCAGCAGGTTAGCCCGTCCTGTGTTCTGTATGGATCCCAATGCCCCAGTGCAGTGATGGGTCCTGACTTTCTGAGGTCATAAAAGATTCCTGGGTATCCTTTGAAACAGTAGGGGTGGGACCCTGTTGTAACTACAGCAGTATGTCATAATATGTTTCTAAACATCATGCAACCTAATGCACGAATGAACAGCTGAATGCTCAAAGAAACAGCAAAATATCAAGAAGATAGGAAGCTGCACTTAAGGGATTCTCGAGTCTGAGCAGCACAATGTCACCTTGCAAAGAAGTACCTTTGCATTTCATATTTCTAGCAAAGTAGGTGGTAATGGATCTTCTGACCAAAACATTCCAAAGATCAACCAAAAACCATCATGGTCTACAAATGTTGAGGAGTGGAACTGCCCATCCTGGTTGCAGTAAATCAAGGTGGTGACCTTCAAGGAGACATTTCAGTGAGCAGGATTATGCAATGAGCTGGTTAATGTAAGTCGACATGCTGGCAAAAGTCAGGGAAACCTAACAGGGAAAAAGTTAGTTAATTCCTTTCCACAAATCTCACCATCACAGTGTTTGCTGAAGAGGTCTGGCTCCTCGCTCCTCCTCACACATACGCACCTTTCCACCACCTCAAAGTTGGCTGAATTTCATTCCAGTTCATCTGTTAACTTAGTGTTTCCCAAACGAGTCCTCATGGAGCCCCAGACAGTCTGCACCACGGGTGTCAAACTCCAGTCCTGGAGGGCCGGAGCCCTGCACATTTTTGGGGTTCCCCACACCTGATTCAACTTGTGCTAAGTAACACGTCGCTCTTCAACTGAATCATTTGTGGTGGAACAGGGAAAGTACTAAGCTACACAGGGCTCCGACCCTCCAGGACTGCAGTTTGATACCCCTGATCTACGCTATGGCTCTCTCCCAGCTCGCAGGCAGTCAAGAACACTGAATGCTGGTATGGGTGTGTTGGGAGCTGGGAGAGAGCAAAACTGTGGACTAGGTTGAGAAACATTATGTTAACTCAGGGTTCTTCAACTCTGGACCTCGATTCCAAATCCAGGCCGTGTTTTCAGTTCTCCCAGGTAGTTGTTTAATAATTACTGATTCTGATTGGTCAGAGGCTTCACACCTGACTGACAGGTAAAGGAAGGCTGGAAAACCAGCAGTGCTCAGACCGTGAGTTGAATAACCCTGCTTTATACTCAAGTGGTTGGTGGAAACAAAATCTTGGTCTGGATTTTTACTCTCTAAACCTGAACTATCTACCTCTTATGGGGAGAATACGCAAACTCCTCACACAGAGCAGAAGTATTTTTCAAACTCCTACCCTGGGAGGTGTGAAGCAACACTGCTACCCTCTCAGTTGCTAGTCTGCCCCATAAAAGACCTAATCAATATAATATTTCATATAATTTTTTACGTTTTCTGTTGCTTCATTGTGTAAAGAAATTTACATGCCTTATTGTTACATTTTAAAACTAAATAATGAGGTAATGATACTTCAATAAAAGCTTGCAAAATTTGGTTAAGAAAAATTGTGGTGTTTTCATTTGTGTAAGCATTACATAATTCATTCATCCATCCATCCATCCATCCATCCATCCATTTTCCAGATCCGCTCGTCCTATGCATGGTTGTAGGGGCCCAAAGCTTATCCTAATGGGCGAGGAGTAACCCATAAGAATTCACGTAAATTCCGACTCCACTCACTGCATCCCTCATTCCGTTTATTTCCCAGTTTGTGACCCATATGGAGGAGTCGCTCAAAGTTAAACTCTCTCAAGAAAATTTTTGGTTTTTCTGTACTGATGACCGTTTCACATAATATTTGTGAACTGGCCCTGGCAAACGAATGCAAGGTTAATATTCACTGAAGCGTCTAAGGGGTAAGTGCCTTAGGGCAGCAAATCCTGGGATTTTTGGTCATAAATAGAATCCCCTGAACCGCCCTGCCATCTGCTCCCGGTTCCAAAAACAGATTTACTTCCTGGAGCACGCTCGCTCATTGTTCATATGCCAGACTGAGCTTGGGGCTCAGAAGAAACAGGGACTCACACAATTTGCTGCCTTGTTCTCTTCAGCCATCAGATGCAGTCAGCGCATGTCAAACAGTCGGACCCAAACGATGCTGGGAATTGTGGGATTATTCCCAAGACTGGATTGGCAGGGAGTTTTATTTATACAAAATAAAAAGGGTAACACTTTACTCAACGGGACACAAATGCTTAGCAGTAACTGCACTACTACTCCAACTGAAGTATCAAATATGAACAAACATAGCAGCTACTTGAGATAAAAGATGTGTCATGATTCATTAATGATGAACAAATGTGAGATCAGTGTCTCACTTGTGTTATTCATTAATTGTTCCTTCAGCAGTTCCTTCAGTAGTTCACAAAGGTTTACAGAATTAACAGATATATAACAACAAAATTAACAGATATATAATAACAAATATATTAACTGCTTGAGATAATTCATCATTAATGAATTGTGACGCATGTTTTAACATGAGATCAGTAGGCAACTAAGATTTAGTGTGCGGTTAATTAATACAAATGTAATAATATAATACTATATTATTTGTGGCCCATTAAGTAAAGTGTTACCAAAAAAATAAAAACACACAACAAAGTAAATTACAGTTCAAATAAATTAAAATACAAAAGCAGTTAGTGGTTATGTAAAACAGCTTTTTCTCTTGTTAAATGAGAAACAAAGTTTGACATCTGTTTTCTCCACTGCATTGTCCAAAGCTGGCAAATAAAAGACAACTATCCAGTTAGTGGTCACATGTCTGAAAGTCAGTGCAGTCACACACCTCATCCAATCAACATGTAGCATGGCACAGGAAGCCGGCCGGCCTGGGAGGACAGTGAGCAGCACTGTAACAGAACCTGTGTTGCAAAGTGGCCAAGATGGCCTGAGTCATGAAGGAAAAAAAACTAAGGGTGTTTCTCAATATGCATACTTCTACTATCGCGTACCCGTTTTATCATCTTCCTTTGCCGAAGACCGGTTACAAAACTCAAGAACAGATACAATGGACAGTAAAAATCCCTAGATATCATTCTTGCCCTGGCCAAAATATCAGTGATGCATTGGTTGCATCCTTGCCAAACGAGAACAATCCCATGATTCACTGCATCCCAAGTTTGTTCTTGGGAGGCAAGTTAAAATAACCGGTTGTGCCGAGACCACAAGTACGATCTTTGCGTTCTTGGTATTGAAGAAAACCCTAAGCTAAAGAGTCACAGTGGGTAGGACTTCAGTGAGCTGTCAATCACTGCTTTATCTTTGCATCACTTCCTTTACTGGATCCCTTGAAATAAAGCAGGCAGTAGTCCCGCCTTCTGTGGGTCTGAAGCCGTAATGCAGCTAAAAGACTAAAGAAATGAACAGACGGTCTAATCATTGCTAAAGAATGTTATTTTCACAGAAGATTTTTGTCATAATCTTTTCTTCCTTCTGCTCCACATAATCACATTCTAGGTAGTTCCTGAGCCCCATGATCCAAGATTATGGTTGGATCCACATGAGGGACTAGACCATTACCCAATTTAAATTGACCCTTGTCCAGTTCCAGGGGAACATTGTTGCATAAAGCCGTAAGCGTCAGACAGTGGGTTACCACTGCACAGTGTAGGCCAGATTACACTGGGGACGTCTCCCGCGAGATTATCTGTAGATCTTAAGGTCGTATTTAGTTACGTGTGAAAATAATCGCGTGAAAATAATCGTTAAGCCTGTCAGGACTTGGGTATAAAAGGGCACAGTGCCGTAGCCCAGCAGTGCAGCACACAGGACCATCCCACCTCCATACCTGAGACGGCGCACAGGTAAGTCCGAATTTGGAATATTTCTATGTTGTATTTGGGGGGGGGGGTGTATTTGGGTACTGGACCTCCTAACTGCTGAGGTACCTTTTATGACCATTTATACAAACCATCCACCAAACCAGTCACAGGTGTGCAATTTTTATCTGCTGGAAAACAGAGACATATGATTCCAGTTGGGGTAAGAAAGGCAACCATCCCTTTAAAAAACATTGTGATTACGATGGACTCAGAACAATGCAACATATTAGCATTAGACTGTGTCATGTGATCCTTGTTCTTTGTGTCTGGTTGTGTCTCTTAAAAACACGAATGTTGGACTAGATCAGTGGTTCTGAAGCTTGCCCTGAGTGACCGCCCCAGGGCAGTCCATGTGTTTGTTCTTCTCCCTGAACCAGATAAAGGAGGCTATGATTAGATAACAAATAAGGTCAGGTATTTAGGCAGTGGGCTGCAATGAAAATGTGGATCGGCTGAGAAACCTGTAGCATGACAAATGCTGAAATGAAGCGCCTGGATTTCATCAGCAGAATGGGGTACACCGCCACCCTGGCCCGACTGCTGGTCCTCCTCGCCTGCTTGGCACAGACCACATCCGCTTCCTGTGTGGTGGACAGCTTCCCGGTCAAGCAGGACTTTGACACGCGCAGAGTGAGTCCTGACCCATAGCTTACCAACGTGGTGGCGGCTGAAAGGCCAGCGGTTCAGGCCATGTGGTGCTTATGGGCTAAGCCTGGAAGGGTCTCATCCTGCCCCCCCCCCCTCTCCCACAGTACAGCGGAATGTGGTACGGCCTCCAAAAGAGGGACCCCGAGGGCTTGTTCCTGCAAGATAACATCTCTGCTAACTATACCATTGATGACGATGGAGTCATGACTGCCCATACTAAAGGCCGCGTCACACTTTTCGGGTCAGTGGTCTAAGTTGGGTTGACCAACCTCATCCAATAGATCTTATCCTTCACACAGAAAAGCTCATGCCAATGTATAACCGCATTAGCACATGAGCATCGTTAGCACAGGCCTGGCGTGCTTCTGGATTTGTTGGCCAGTCTGAGTGCAGCATGTGGCTGGTCTGTGACTCCAGGTTCTGGGTAGTTTGCGCTGACATGGCTGCCCAGTACACGGTCCCCGACCCCAGCACCCCGGGCAAAATGTTCATGACCTACCAAGGCCTGGCCAGCTACCTGTCCAGCGGCGGTGAGTCACCAACCGGCCCAAATCATACTGAGTCACACCCTCAAGTGCTGAAACATACACATGCTCTCAATGTGTCCCGCCCCCCCAAGGCGACAACTACTGGATCATTGACACCGACTATGACAACTACGCCATCACCTACGCGTGCCGCGTGCTGAAGGAGGACGGCACCTGCGATGACGGCTACGCTGTGGTCTTCTCGCGTAACCCCCGTGGCCTGCCGCCGGCCATCCAGCGCCTCATCCGAAGGAAGCAGGAAGAGATCTGTTGGTTAGGCCAGTTCCAGCCTGTTCTACAGTCAGGTGAGCAAACCAAAAACACTCTCACCAATACGACACTGGACACAGTGAAGAGGGGAGACTGCCCTACTCTCAGCCATGATGGTCAAGTCGTACTTGCCACTGGACTCTTCCTATTAAACTAGTACCATTGGCATTAACTTACAGTTTCACTTTATGGACAACAAAGGTTTGCAGATTTCAAAGCCACTCATTCCCCTCCTCTCCTTCCCTCTTCTCCTTCCTCCCCTCTTCTCCTTCCTCCCCCTCCTCTCCTTCCTCCCCTCTTCTCCTTCCTCCCCTCTACTCCTCCCCTCTTCTCCTTCCTCCCCTCTACTCCTTCCTCCGCTCTTCTCTTTCCTCCCCTCCTCTCCTTCCTCCCCTCTTCTCCTTCCTCCCCTCCTCTCCTTCCTCCCCTCCTCCCCTCTTCTCCTTCCTCCCCTCCTCAACCTGGCAGGTGCCTGCTAGTGATACAGGACGCCTGAAGCATGCTGGCACAAGAGGACACATCTTCTCACTGGAGGCACCATCCCTGATCCTGGAGTGCCAGAGTCCTACAGCTTTTAGAATACTTTTAATTAGTTCCTGCATGATGTCCGATACACCAAGGCAGGGGACATATACTACGCATATTTCAATACAGCTATGAGTGGTCGTCCAGCATAAAGCATCACAGTCCACGAGAACCATGACTTTAAGCCCCCGATCGTAGACTTTAGATAGTATCTCCACAATGACCCACTAGTGTTGGATGCTATTTCACAGATCACCTGTTCCTGTAACAATAAACCTGTTTTTCTTTTTTTTTTTAAACAAAACTTTGTAAATGCTCCTCATCTTTTCAGCACGGTATTAAAATTTAACAAAATATGCCAACATAAAAGAAAAAAAAAACACGTGGAATAATTTTTCTAACCATTCATGGGATTAATTGTGGACATTCACATATAAAACCCCAAATATGTAATGATGACCAGTCGCATGTTTGTGCAATATCCTCAAGAAGGCAAACAGACAACAAAGAAACATCCTTGGGTTTAATCCAATTCTAAACAGAAATGTTAAGAACAATAATGCAAACAAACATGAAAGGTGCTCATTGGTGCAATAAGTAATGTATCTATGGTGACCACGGTTCATTAACCAATCAGAGCTCCTCGCAGTATCTGATGCTTTGTGAATACTCTCCTGGCCTCCCCCAGTAATCCACAGCCCGCACTCTGTAGAAACCACAGACATCTAAGCTCCCTAGGAAAGAAAGAGAAAAGGTACGGAGTATGACGCAGCCAAGCGGCAAGGAGCTGTAGGGGTAGAGAACATCGGGAACAGAAAAAAAGCAGAAAGCTCATGTTTCAGGAGGGAAACGCTGTTGTACCATGCAGCCTTCATCCAGCTGACACGGATTTAGTAAATAAATTATATGGTACACATGCTGCCATGAGAAAGGTCTCCAAAGGAACCGACAGCGCTACAGGTTATGAAATAATCCATAAACACATTCACAGGAATCATCATAACTGCTGTGCTTCATCCTGGAAAACTGTGTTTCGACAAAAAAAAGGCAGGAATATTGTTTTATTCGGCCAGACCCTTACCAGGGGCAAATACATAAGAGGTAAAAATGGTGTCCTGTATGTTTATTCTTTGGAATGTTGTCCAGGATCCGGAAAATTCCACCTCATAAGTCTTTATACACCTGAGAATGACACGTGACAAAATGAGGCAATCGGCACACCAGCAGATTCTGCATGACGCCTCACAGTTTAGGGGGAAGAGCGCGGTTCACAAAAGGGTGACACTCACTTGGAATTGACACAGTGATCCGTCCAAATGATGAGAACCTGGCCTTTGGTCACAGGTAGGAACCGCAGACCAGTCACCTGACCCAGAGCACAGTAGAGTAACAGGAGAGTCATAGGCAGCTTGCTTCGTTCATGCGTAGTTTCATTAACAGATACTTTTTATTTAAATGACTTTCAGTGTTACCCGTTCATAATAAGTACCATAATTGGGCTTTCAAGTTACAGATTCATAACAAGCTAACGCTACCTGCCCAGAGTGTACATTCGCATGATCATTCATTCACAGGGGAAATCAAATAGGTTCCACCATTCGTAGAATGATTCAGGAATATTTATTTTCTGACATTTGTTACTCTGCTCAAATCTTCACCTAATGACCTGACAGAGCAAATGGCATCATACCCATGTCAAGAACAGTCATTTACTGGGCTGCATGATTTTACCGTCCTTGATCAAAAACAGAGGTCAACAGTCACTTCCTCATCCTCCGGAAGTGGAATGGGGGTTGCCATGGAGACATGGCCACACCCACCTGGTCCGGCGGCGAATCGGGCTTGGCGCACACATGGATGAGGAGGACAGCTGGAACGGGAAGGTCCAGCTTCAGGGTCAGCCTGCCGTCGGGGGGGAAGGGAAGGGGCCCTCCTACTCGCGGCTCCTGAGACAGACGGACCGTGGGACAATTAGCTTTGGACCTCCAGGGGATGTTGTTCTGAATGTGCTGGGTCTTCGGGTTTCTAAGCTGACACATATACTGAACATCTGTAGAAGTAAAACGATAAGAGGACGTCTGCAAAATTGGACAACATTATGAACAATTCTGCCCATCGACTACAGGGGGCGCTATCCTGGAACAGCTTTAGCCACCAGTTATATCACTACAGTGTGCTAAGAATCACTATAGGGGATCCTTCCTACCTGCTGCCATTAGGCACCACACCTCCCGACCTGCCAATCCTCACTTGCTTAGTCTACTGCCTTTGCTCTGCTGTCTATTCTGAACTACATGCATGTTCATCTGGGCTCTACGTACCTTCCTACTGTATGCATAAGAATTTCCCCCTGAGATCAATAAAGTTTATTTAATTTCATCAACAAAACACCAGATCAACTTGGATGCAGTATGTGTGCTAAGCACAGCACACAGTCGCAGACACACACAAAGCCCAGTCAGGCTACCAGTCACCTTCATACTGCCCCACCTCCAACTTCCGTAGCTGCTGGAACTGCACAGCCGTGGGGAAGGCTGGTCTCCCAAAGGCTTTCCACAGGCTGTAGGGACTGCTGCTGTTGTTGTCCAGGTAGTAGGTGACATACACCAGACCTGGAAGAAGTACAGTAGATCAGGTGAGCGAGGAAAATGCACTCAGAGACCAGGACCCAGAGAACATATAGATAGTTAATAAGCAATGTCCTATGATGTCACTCAGACATCTCTCCTCTATAATAGAAATTAGTATTTCCCCTAATCTCACTTACCTCTGGATATCGATTCCCCTTTAATCTGCCTGCAGCGTGAGACTGAGGGGCTAAAACAGAAGCAAGCACTCACCCTTATGGCCTGCATATCCACTGAGCTGGACCGTCACATGGTTGGGGGAAGACGTGCGGTTGTCTTTGCTGCTGTAGATCAGCACAGCTGACTGCCAGCTGTCCGACGTCCCGGGAAAAGGTGGTTTGTGGGTGCTGGCCAGGACCCCCACGGTGTCATCCGCGCTCTTCCCCACAGAGGCCACATGTGAAAACACCTGCGTTTCTCCTGCATAAATGTTATAAGATGCACAGCTTTAGACTACTCTGGACAGAAAACAGCTTAGGGATTCCTCACCATAAATCTGCAGACTCAAACCTCAAAGCTTCTTGTATCTATAACAGGGTTGGGGGCCATTCCGGAATGCATTCATCAATTCCAGTCCAAATCAGGAAATGGATCTAGAGTTGGGATTGAAAAAAAACTCCGGGGAAAAGGAATTGACTGAACTGAACTGGAATTGACAAATGCATTCTGGAATGGCCCCAACCCTGATCCATGACTTGAATCTCACAAGAACCAGAACAAACTCTACCAATATCAAAGTAGTTCTTTTACCAGACAATGTTATCCAAAATGACGCAGAAATAAGGAGACATTCCTCAAGGGTCAACCAGCATCTCTGGAGCAGCTGGGGTTAAGAGCCTTGCTGAAGGGCCCAACATTGATACAATTACTCTGCTGGTGACACAGATTGAAACTCACAACCTACTGGTGATCCCTAAACCACTGAGTTACACATTGCCCCATCATTTGTGCCAAGGCTGGGAAACCATGTATGACCCGCTGCCTGCCTTCTGATTGCCTGGCGATTGGAAGGAGCGTTGGCACCGGCTTGCCATCTCCCCCCTGCTCCCCGTTTGTGTCTGAAATTTTACTGTATTTGACTCTCCCTGCCGGCCCCTGGAGGATGGGCTCCCCCTTTGAGTCTGGTCCCTCCCAAGGTTTCTTCCTTCTGGGGAGTTTTTCCTTGCCACTGTCGCCTATGGCTTACTCACTGGGGGCTTTGGGTGGGGATGCTGTAAAGCGATTTGAGACAATGTAATGTTGTGGGGGCAGCGTGTGGCTCAGTGGGCTAAGCCGTGTGCCTGTAATCATAAGGTCGCCGGTTCAAGCCCAGCCTCAGCACGTCTGCGGGTCCTTGAGCAAGGCCCTCAAACCCCAGCTCCCTGGGCGCCGCTACGGGTGGCTGCCCTTCACAGACAGCTTGCTCTACAAAGAGCAAGTTGCAAGAGCAAGTTGAGGGAGGCGTAAAAAGAATTTCCTCACGGGGATTAATAAAGTGTTCATTTTATTCATTATACAAAAATAAATTTGTTGTTGTTGTTGAAACTAGTAACTGAATCATTTGCTTCAGGACAGCGCCATGGATGCCTGCTTTGACTGCACTTTCAGTACATTTATCAACAGCACATCCGCATTGTATATCAATCTGATAGTATCTGACCATTGTCTTGTGTTTTCTAACTGTGAATGTATCTGCGGTATGTATGGCAGCCATTGACAAACGGAGACAAACTCCCTGTGTGCGTAGCCAAATAAAGACGATTCTGATTGTGATCAATTGTGTGTCAAAATCAGCGTGGGAGGCTCTGGTGGGCGATGAGGCCCCAAGCAGATGTCAGCGCTCACCTAGCAAAGAGAGCAGGCCCAGAACGGTCAGAACGGACTTCCTCAGCAGCTGCACGTGGGGCGGCTGGGTGTTGTTGACCTGAAAGCGGGCGGTGAGTGTGCGCTGAGTGAATTGGTACGGGTAGTAGCTCAGGAATGCGTTGTCGTTGCTCAGGAGGACATAGTTGATGGTGGAGTTAGGCTTGCCGATGACCAGGTCCTGATGCTGGGAAATCACCTAGGTAACCCAAGAACAAACTCAGGCCTCTATAACCTTGACGCTGTGTGATTCTGATAACACATTGACAGTTCATATTAAGGAAAAGTAAGGCAATGTTTTGGTTGATTAACTAGTGTGAAGTTGGTAAATAACCAATCAAGACACATTAGAGAAACTTCCAAATGAAGATCATTTCAATACTCCACTACCTTCACCACCATGGCTGCATAGGTCACATCAGCTCTCCAGTCCTCAGGTTTGGACCAGCCTACCAATGGGTCTGCCTCATCGTTGTAGACAGGTATGGACCTGAACTTCGGGAAGCGGTCATGAATCTCCTTCATTGTCTCCATTTCCTGCTGGATGATGGGTAGAGAGCCACCACCACCCTGAAAGAGAAATAAAATGTGTTATTTGACAGCCATGTGCACTTTTTTGAGCATGAATAATCGTGATGATGGTCACTGGTGACAATGAAGCAGTGTACGATATCTGCACAGGTTCCTCCAAAGACCTCACCTTCTTGTGCAGGGCGATGAAGTCCAGCCGCACACCTGTCTCGCCTGTGAAGAAGTTGGTCCCATTGTAGCAGTGTTCCAACATGGCCCAACAGTACGGGGAGCGTGGATAGGAGTGACAAGAGTCTCCCGGACCCCCAAACCTCAAGGTGGCGCTAGCGTCTCGAAGTCCTTCTGAACAGGCATCATAGTAGTTCAGAAACCCTGCAGATGAAACACATGTAAAGCACCTTAATGACATTGTATTTTCAGTTTTTAGTGAGATTAACAAAAGGACTGCAGGCTTTACCCTGAATCGACACGGATACATTGTCAAAGTCGTGATTATTGGGCTCATTCCATGTTTCAAAGTTCCACTGAGAGACGTATCCCAAGCCGTACTTCTCTAAAAAACAAGAACAAACACTGCTTTAGGGAAACAATCATTAAACAGCTGGGTGAAATCAAGGAATTAACCTCCCGTTCACGTTGAAGCTAATTGTGACTGGACAACTACACAAAAAAATCCAAGAACAACTTGCAGATAGACGATGCTCCACTAGGTGGTGCTCTACAGCAGCCATCCAAGGTGACCAGTTTGGCTCAATCAGGTACACTCTGCTACATCACTTAAGACAGCTGGCTGGTGACAGGCTTAAACTACAGTTTTGTCTGTGGCTCGTGTACAACTTGATAACCAACCAATGTATCTTTTTGCGAGGAGATACACGAGGGTCCTCCACTCTGCCACCTGCCTCTTGTCCTCAAAGTCTGTGAAGTAGCCAGACACGCTGCCCATTAGCTCAAAACCTGAAAAAAACATATGTTTCAGGCTAAGAGAAAGATTTTGCAGTGCATTTACATCATGTGATAAATACTTTTCAGTGTTCGTAGCCCCCTTAATCAAGTTGAGATTAATGTTATTCTCATCTGATTTTATCTGAGACCACAGAGAGGATTGTGAACTTATTTGTAATCAGCATCTGCAAAACAGATGATACAAAAGATTTTCTAGAGAACTTTGGGCAAGAAATGCAGGAAGATTTGGGGAGCTCTTTTTTCTTAGCATGGCTGTTCCCCAGACCAGTTTACCTGGCCGAAGACCATTCTGCCACAGGAGTTCTATCAGCTGGTCCAGTTTTGTGAAATTGTAACGGGTTTCTCCGTTTACAACCCTACAAGAAATACCCGATATCATCAGAGACTCCCTTACAAAGTGTTTTCCTGAAGTAGCTAGCACATCAGAAGACTTCAGGTGTGTATGTTTCTTTAGCTGTGATGTGCAGTCGCTAAATGAGGGCAAAGTGATTGTTACTTACTGTGCTGTGACCAGCTCCAGAAGCCAGTGTATACGAACCTGCTCCAGACCACCGTGGGGCACTGAGCCCAGGTAGGCCATGTTTAACTGCTGGTCTCTGCTGAGGTCATACTGGTCAGACTGGGCGTGAGGAAGGGGAGGGCTGAGTAGGACAACACAGAAAGGCAGTGAGCTTAGGGAACCAGAAGAGAGTAACTGTGAGCCAATCAAAAGCAAAACCTATCTGGAGGTATTTTGGGTACATCGTAACTAAAATCTGTTTCTGCCTGTGACTACATGGGACCGAACACACCACTTCTGATTTAAAGCGTCCAAAAGTGAATAAACTTCGCCCTACGTTAGCTGACATCATCAGCAACCTTTGAACAAATAGAATGTATAATATATGAAAAAGCGGGACATATAAAATTCAGAAAAAGTCCAAGGACATACCAAAAACCTGTACTCTTCCAGAAATGATTCAGGTCTCTTATGGGTGTCTCTGCGTCCACCGCGAGCTCAAAATAAGCAGCAGAGGCACCGTACACTTCGCCGCAGGCAGCCAAGAGAAAGACTCGTAAAGCAACATGTTTTAAAATGCACATTTTAATTTAGTTTATCACCAGCCACATTCCGTTGCGAAGCGAAAAAAATGGCATATTTCTCAAACGTAATATTTCTCAGATCTTTTATACCTACTTCACCGCACTATTAAAGCTCATCATAATTGTAACTGGAGCAGACGCTACCAGCAAGCCCGAGACGACAATATTTTCTTCTTTAGTACTCCTTTTTAACTTTAACCATTTGTATGGCACCTCTAGTGTTCCGGAGTGGAAGTGAAACATGGCATATATTGCAGTCTGGGCATGTGTACATTGATCCGTCTTCCATAACAGCTTATCCAGCAATGGCGTCGGAGAGAGTTTGATATTGGGGATGGGGGATAAAATAATTTAATTATAAAGTTCTATTTTGTGCAGGAATAAATTATGCCAAATTAAATATTGTGGGTACACCCCCAGCCTGGTTCCTGTGCCCCTATAATCCAGTACAGGGTAACAATGTTCTTAGAGCCTATCCCATTGAGTACAAGGCACCTGTTACGGGGCATTGTGGATAGGAAGTGAGCCTGTTAAAAGGGATGCCATTATGAGCCAATATCCAGGTTTGGGGTTCCTTTATGTTCACCAAATGTTTATTGTCCATTACAGAATGACTTCTGTCACTTTTGGTTATATGTCATTGGGTTTCAGGTGCCACTTATGGGAGGTTGTGACTGCAGACAGCAGACTCAATGCCTGCCCATTTATCTTTCCTTCGCAGATCCTTATTCCAGCCTAGTGATGTGAACGCCCACAAACTACAGTACATTACGGGCCCTTTCTGGTTCTGACTCCCCCCCCCCCCCACACACACACATACCACCTTCTTCTCTAGTTCTGGTAGGTCACTAAAATGTTATCTGCTAATAACATGAAATAGTAGATATTTTGGTATCACTTTCCAATAAGGCTCCCTTTGCCACTTGTAAATGGTAGTAACTCGTCAATGAAAAGAAAACTGTGTTATAATTTGTTTAAAATTGTCTATTAATAATTTACAAAGTGCTACAACCTAATTAATAACCAGATTCTAAACCATTCATAAACTCTTTATATGGGTAGCCTTATTGTAAAGTGGCACCGATATGTTTATTCAAAGTGACGATCAGAGAACCAAACCCCGAGGCTACTGGGATTAAGCCACCACAGGATTTGAGCCAATACCCTTCTGCCCATGGGCATATAGCCCCTAATGCGTATTACCATCTGCAATATTTTCAATGGTCTTATATGAGTCAACATACTAACTATAACAAAAAGTTCTATAATATTTTGAATGCCTAAATAACAACAGCAATAATAAATAATAATAATAATAATAATAATAAAGGACTATACATATAGGACTTTTCATCCATAAAATGCAGGTCAAAGTGCTTAAAGACATTAGAATAAATAATGCAGATAATAGCTGATAATAAAAATAAAAATAACAGACCTAACAGTTGAAAGAGCCCAAATTAATTTTCTAATTGGCATTTTGTTTTTCATAGTGTCAATACTTAGTTCTTGTTAAAAATATACCTTTTGTTCCTTGTCAATAAAAAAAAAATGGGGAAAAATGTCAAGCTTGTATGTAAATGATGGCTATTCATGGTTTAGACTGACATGCATGTAAGGAAACACCACAGTGTTAAAGAAATACCAGTGAGTCATGTGACTTGTGCTACCATGGTGACAACAACAAAGAAATACTCCTGGACTCGGTTGAGAGAAACCTGACAAAAGGGGAATCCTGTAATTAAAAGCTTAGTCACAAGCAGGCTGAAAAAGTGTACCTTTACCCAGTCTCTTATAATGAATGCATTTGGATATAGGAGACTGCTGTTCCCCAGTACTGGTCAGTGCTTCCTTGTGCTGTGCTGATATGTAGAAATTGGGGGGTCTAGGATGCCTATCTCATCTGGCGCTGCAGGGCGAGTGGGGGTGGGGGTGGACACGTCCATTGCATGGGCTCCCAGCGGAGTCAAGCAGGAGTCAAGGCCCTCCTACAGAAACTGTGACTCCTATCTGAAGAGGTGAGAAAAGGCCTTTTTATTATCCTGTACATTTCACTACATCACAGGCTGTAGTTCTAAGAGGAATGATGCTGGTCTCCTTTGGATGGTGTGCTGGCCTTAGGTTTTCTCTGGGTATTCCGAGTATCTTCTCCAGTGTGATATACCAGGTATGGATACGTTTGTCTAAATTACCATAAGATGGATTGCATATCATCCAGGGCGTCTTTCCAGTGCTTCTTGGCATAGATTCCAAACTATTTATCACATGGATGGATGAATAGATGGATGGATGGTTGGATGTTTACAGGTAACAATAATGATCGTTGATAATAGAAATACATGAAGGTAAAAAGCATAGAATTTATTTTGTAACCAGACAGGCATATTGAAAAGGGGACCGCTGACCTACCTGTTGCTCACCTGCTTGGGGGTAATTAATCAGCACCCCCCCCCCCCAGACCTCACATATTTCTGATTTTTGGGACAAACACACAACCTGCCTGAGCCAGGCTAGTTTAAAACAGTGATTTCTCTTATAGGGATGCATATTAAACACATGGACAGTTGATTTAATTTTTGATAACTCAAACAACAGCTGAGTACTCTGTGGCTGTGACTCTTTATACTCAACTGGTTGATTGACACAAAACCTTGGTCTGGATTTGTACTTTTTGGACCTGAATTTCCCACCTCTGGAAACAGAGTAAAATTACTCAAGAAAATGTATTGATCAATCATGGCATAAACATTATTACAACATAACCTAAATAACACATAAAGTTTCACAGAATCATGTAAAATATCCATGAAAAACAATATCGCTTTCGCTGACTTAACAATGGCTAAATTCTTCAGAATAGTCGTGCAACACACTCTCGTCAGCACAAGCCACACCTCCTCTATACATCTGGTCTTCACACACTTTTCACCACGTTCTCATCTTTACTCTGCATAGTCTGGTTCCCCCCCATTTGAATCGTGTGAATCGGTGCCCCTGAATTTTACCTACATTTAGAACCGCTGCGTTCACAAACCTCAGGCCGCCGCTGGAGGTGACCAAAGTGCGGTCCATGCTGATGACATCAGCTTGTGCCCAGGCTGGATATTTTACAGTTGCCATAGGACCTGACTTCTGAGGCTCAAAATGCTGCATTACCTGTAGTAAGTGTACTGACACATAACTGAACATCGTGTTGCAGATACTTAGAAACCCACCCAGAGATTAGGCAACGGTGTCCGACCACCAGCTCAGAGGTAAGTAGAACAGGTGACTCTGTGGAATGTGAGTGAGGACAAAGCCATGCCAATTGATTTAATGGCCCATCCTATTTCAATTTACTATTGAAGTACATGTTGAGGAATCAGATCAAATCAAAGTGTATTTATCAAATGCACAAGTATCAGGAGCAGTCCCTGCCTGGCCAGCAGGTGTCGCTGTTCACCCCTTTCCTAGTGTTTGAGTCCTTCGTGATTATGAACCTCACTCGCTTGTTGTTCCCAGCTGTAGTAATTAGTTGTATCTGGCCCAGACCTATCCCTCATTTTACCCTTCTTGTGTGCGTATATATGTGTGGGCCCACGCCCTTGCTCCTCAGTTGGTCATTGTGTGTTTGCTGCTGGTCTATTGTAGTTATTCCTGTGTTGCTCCCTGCCTTAGTTTTTATCTTTTACCTGCTTTGTTTTTGACCAATAAACCACAACGCGGATCATTCGCCCTTCATCATGCCCATCTGTAACGCACAACAGTACAGCAAATAGCGGGAGATGCAGGAAATTAAATATATAATATAATAATATAACAAGTGATATAGATAAGAGAAATAAGTAAAGTGATTTATAGAAATTATGAGACGGTAAAATATAAGATAATACTAGGTTTTCATTCATTTCATATCACATATAATTTAACAAAGACCCTACAAACGTGCAATCGGTTTTGAGATTACATTAAGATGGGTTTCATTGCTATTGCACAACAATGCACAGTAAAGTCAGATTTACCTTCTATAAATGTCGCAAAATTTGATCATTTATTGTATTATATACATACACATGCTTACGTAAAGAGGAACTCGTTTTTGTAAGCAATAAATAATTGTCTTTGCCTCTCATTTCCTGTTTTGTGGGTTCGCAGTTTCGTGCAATTCCCGTTTCACATCTTTACTGATTTTCACGAAAAGAGGATAAGAAACCACATCAGTATGACGGAAGGAGGGCATCTTCTTCTGATGTTGATATCACATTGCGAGTGCGGAGTTTGTAAGTTAAACGTGCCTGTTGACTGACCAATGTCAGGAAATTTTACGATACTTGCTTATACCAAAAACAGCTTATAATATCAGCCATTGCACGGCTCATCCTTCAACCTCTCATGAGAAGCACCCGAGCCGTTCCATTGTATTTGTTAAATTTCACCCCCAGATCATTATTTAACTTAAATAATTCGTTGGATTATTGATTAGCCAAATATGGTATGTAGTAATTGAGTTGGCAAATACATGGGTGTATCGGGTGGTTACTGCTCTGCTGGAATCGCTTTGGAAGAGTTTATGAAATGGCTAAATAATATCACAGTTTTACATCAACATAAAAATAATTTAAACACATCATGCTTATATATATATAAAAAATTTAAAGATTACGGTATATAACTACTCATAGCTGGTATCAGTTGATGATGCTGATGATGTCATCAGAGCTCTGAGTACGTATCCCAGGTGGGCTGACTGTGAGAATTTGCATAAATATACCACACAGGTCTCCAACCTGGGTGACACTGAATCTTAAGGCTATGTTAAGGTGGACCCCCCCTCAGGCATGTATTTTTATGGGGGGACCCAGAACCACATAGATCCATCTCAATTCAGTCATTACTGATGGTCAGGGGGTGTCGGAGCAGTATGGATACCCTGACAGATTCAGAGGGGGGGGGCAGAACTATACAGGGGCCCCTAAATATTGTTATTTGAGGGGTTGGGGGGGCCCAAGGTGACATTTCATCAGGGGGCCCAGAATGTCTAGCTACTCCCCTGCTGAGGATGTAATGTGTAATGTTGTTGCCACACTATCTCATAACATTTTTTTATCTCAATGTCAACACAGAACGTCACTGACCAGTCATGCAGTCCTGGACAAGCAGGGGACAGCGAGATCAATCACTGTAAAGGTACAACTGCAAACCATGATGTGGATCATATTGTGGGGGTGCAGTAAAATTATTATTTTTAACCTGACACTGATGCAAGCATATTTGCAATTTTCGGGACAAACAAGCAACCTGCACATGCCAGGCTGCCTCTTTGTCAAATTTATTGTCACAATGTCTTATGGTCATGTGACCAAAAGTCCTGGGTTCAAGAGCCAAGGATGCCGGTTCTGTTGAATTAAGAAATGACCTAAGATGACCTTACTACCTCATCCAGTGGTACATAAAAAACAAGAAATGCAAATTATTTTGTCAAAAATACTTGCAAGCAAATAAAATCATGCAATAAGTGACAGCGTGAATGCGATTCTCCCTCACAGAGCTGAGCACGGCCACCATCTCCCAGCGGCTCAGTGGCACTAGTGTCATGGAAGCCAGCGGCGACCCCCCCAGGCAGCAGACCTCCAGAAAGTCCTCTGTTTGTGCCATTCTGTAGCCCTCTGTTGGAAAATGTCTTCGATAAGCAGAATTCTTCAGGCTCCATCCACTCATACAGTAACCTGTCACATCAACTGTATTTACCTCATAACCATCCAGAAAACGAACCTCAAGCACCAATCTGGCCCCTCCAGCACGTCGCAGTGAGCCCCCCAGTCCAGAACTATGTTGGGTTTAATCACTCATGCCTACAATTGGTGGCTGTATGATTTAAAGCCACTGTGCATTGATTTCAGGGTCACACATTTGCTTGTGTTTACTTCATGCACTTGGTCAGCAGTGTTTTATAGTTAACATTCTTGGATCATCCTAGCGATGCACTGCTCCTGAGTGCAGTGACTGGCAGTAAATTAGTATTATGGAAACATATTAGAGCTTTTGCTTTTTTGTGGTTTTATTTGGACAACAATGAAGAACACATAGGCGTACAAACACACCAAACACCCATCCATCCATCCATCCATCCATTATTCTGGTTAGGGACCTGGAGCCTATCCCAGGCAGCATACGGCCCAAGGCTGGTGTACATCCTACATAACTGTGTGACTTATTTTTTATTTGCATATAAGACTGCCTTTCTGTTTTTTTCTCCATTATTTAGAAACAGATTCAATCTCTATGCTAACAGACAAGAGTATAATTGAAGGAGCGTGGATGCGGAAGTGAGCGGGCGCGAAAGGGCGTTCAGTAGGTTCTTTGACGAGCCAAAGTCAACCTGCATAAAAAAGAAGAAAACGGGAAGACCATGCACAATTATGAATGTCGGCACATAGATGGCAGCAAAACGCTGATCTGGAGGAACGCGCAGCTCTTAAAGGGGCAGTTGGTTCAAGTTTTGAAATTTTATTGTCATGTGTACAAAGTGATGGCCTTGGCGTCTTACTTACTTTATTAAGTTAAACTATACAGTGAATAAAAAAATACAAACAATCAGGTTTGAATGCAGATGTGACAGACGACGGATTGTAAAAGTGGGATTACTCGCAGCATACAATATCTTAGAAATTCTCTGTTTTGTGTGTGTGTGTGTTTTCTGATTTTCATAACGAGTTGGGGAGCTCTCACTCTTCCCAAGGCTAGCGGTGTGGTCTGGAAACCAAGAGGGGTGTCTTAAATATTAATTTATTATCACTCACAGAGATTGACGGTTAACTGCAAACTACAGACAGTGACACATCTGAAACTAGTTACAAAACTATAGTTGAAACTTTGAACCACAAGCAGATGCCAGCTAAGAAAATTAATAACTTAAAAATGTCTGCAAGCCTGAATAATAATCAACCAAGGCAGCCTTTCGAAGTAAGCAAACATTTTACGCAAGCCCAGGGCCATTAAGTATACTGACATGTTGTTGATTATACAATCCCACTTGGATTTAAGGACCTGGGGCAATTTTGAATCTTTCTTCTCATGTAAAAACACTATAGGAGACTCATCGGGGAAAACTTCATATTTTATAGTAAAAATTACATGCTGACTTTGGCACAAGTGATCGCTAAATGCTAGATCACATAGGTGGTTATTTTATTATGCAGCTGTGTTAGACATATATAATTCTCATTTTTCTACTGCAAATTCTGTTTTGTTGACAGAACTCATAAAATCTCAACTGTTTATACAGCCTTAAATGCCTTTATCCATTACCACTAACTGCTTGAATATAGTCCACAACCTACATCCATCAATCTCCCAGCAATTATCCAGTATAGCGTCATGGAGCGGGGGGAGGGGGGTGGACTGTCTAAGGCAGCATAGGGGGCTCAAGGCAGTGGACAGCCTGCATGGGATGCCAGTCCACTGCAGAGCAAAAGCACAATATGTGCAATTTCGAGTTGGCGGTATGTCAGGCTGCATGTGCTCGGACTGTGGGAAGAAACCAATCCGCAGGGTGGGGGGCAAACACGCAAAGCCCATGCGGAGTGCAGGTGTGCCACACAACTGTGCCACCCTAAAAATGGCATAACCACAGTACATGACAGCATCAGAGAAGCCTTAGGTCTTGGATCATAGCATTTAGATTATACATGCGAGCGCCTCACTCTCACCTGCCTCATGCTGCAGTGTGCAGCTCCCTCACCAGTCAACAATCAGACTGCACTGCACTGCACTGGCCAGTTAGGGCCGCATGGCTTTGTTGTGGCAGTATTGGCGATCATGGAACATGAGTCAAGAAATTCTCTGTAAATAGAAATAAAATGATTAAATTAAATAGTGCAAACAGTGCAAAACTGTACAATTACTATAAATAAGTATAAATATAAACCATACAAAAATATAAACTGCATAAATTATGTAAACTATAAAAACTGTATGGACTATAAACTAATTGACAATAAGAATAGAAAGGCAAGCTACTCCTTCACAGCTGTGCTGAATTACACTCCACTCTATAGATAAACTATCATTTCAATCAGTATAAAGGAACCTAGCGACCAATCTGAATAGTGAACTACTGCACATCTAAAGCTGATGGTGAAACTTCAGGACTGAAGTTAAATACCACAGAAACACTTCTTCACAAATTTTTAATCCTACTGGGTAAAAAAATAATTAAAAAAACAGGCATTAATTCCAAAGCGGATGCGAGCAGAACCACTTCACTGTCGAGCACGAGCCAAATACATGATCTCAGCTGCTTTTTATCCATCTATGGGACACAGCTATGCATGAACATCTTGGTTGCTGCATGCACTCCGGGGATAAAGGGGATGATACATGCTGCATGCAAACAGCTTGGATTTCCCTGAATCCAGGAAGCAAAGTAAATCTTTACGACCTGACAGGGGCTGCGCCATGACCTGCAGTCACCCCCAAAGAGAAGGTTCGCTAAGCCCCAGTACATGGTGTTGTTCCAAAGTGTAAAACTGTAACCAACAAAAATATATCATATGCAAATATGTCACTTAAGGAGAGTCGACAGATAAGGGAATGTCATATTTTTATGTCACACAGAGTTATTGGCAAAAAAATTTAAAAATCCAGGCTAAGACTTTGTCATGTTTCTTTTGAGAGAGGCCTCACCTTGTCCTGACTGACTGACATGCCTTGTTACACCAGCAAAGTACCTGATACGGCCCCAATAAAATCGGTTGCGAGGCTCTTCTGTGTGCTGTGCAGCGTTAACCACAAGGCCCTGGTATTCTGGTCACTGTGTCTGTCAGGATGAGTCTCTGATCACAGTAACATTTGTATCTCCTTGACAACTCCTCAACTGTCCCTCTGGTGTTTTCTTCACTACCACACAGCCCCCCCCCCCCCCATTGGTCCACATCTGCATACAGTTAACAGCCTCTTATCATCCTCTTAAGTATACAGGGGTGCTTGTGTTGGTCACGTCACCTCCTTGACTCTTAATTATTATTCCAGCTGTGTTTGTATGTCCACAGGGAACGCACCACATTTCAGATTAACTCTGACATTAGGAGCACGTCTTCTCTGAGGGGGTCAGGGACACGGAGGAGTTACGAGGATGGGTTGTGTTTTACTGTTTGATGAATGCATTTCATCTCCAGAACACATGCAGCAAGACAACTCAGCCAAGGCAGTGGAGATACACAGCACCCAGTCGGGTGAGTGGTGAATCGGTGATGCGTTTCCTGGCAGGATTCTGTCACACCAGAATATCCCAGGATATCTCAGCCTCTGGGGGTGTTTGCTTTTCCTGGAAAATGGAGCATGCTCTAGAGTCATGACTCCTAACCTTTGGTTGGGGGGTTGAGCAGTTTGCACTGTACAGTTACCATGGTTATGACTGCCTGATGGGAAAAACAGTGGAGAAGGAACCCCAGCATCCTTGCAGACGCCGCATGTCTCTGCCTGTCTCACTGACACAGATGTGGAGTTTTGATCGGGGCTGGTTTGTTTGCTCCATTTGTATCCCCATCCCGCAGCCGCCCCGCTCGCCAGTGCTCTGCAGACACGCCTAAACTTATACAAACACCTACATAAATCTCCACACCCTTCATGAACCAAGAGTAGAACGAAATGCTAAACTGCCTTCCCTGGGATCTCCAGTGCATCTGAGCTTTTGCAGACCTGCCAAGTCTCATGCATCTTGCGGGAATCTCACGCATTTAGAATGATTCTCCAGACTCCCGCAAGCCCTTTGTTTCCTTATGTGTTTATGTTTAAGTTTTGCCGTTTTAGCACATTTCTCTATCACAGCCACATTGCACAGGTAGAGTCATCTACTAGTCAAACTTTACAACATTTCTCCCACCTAATTCTTTCTGGCCAATCATGGCTGTTTGCTGTTAAATTTAAGACCATGTTTGGTTGATTAATTGATAATCTTCCTTTTTAGTATCCACAGAAGTGCAGTGATAATTATTATTTTCTTGTTCAAAGTGCCAAATCTTGGCTGAACAGTTCCATCAAAACCAAATACTAAGTCACTCTTTTAAGCAAAAGCAGGTTTGCACACAACAATAGCACACAAAACAGCCCATTCTCCAGCAAAATTTAACCAGTCCTCCAGCAACCCTGAGCAGGTCTGCTTTTGCTCCAACAAATATCCTTGTTTGATATGCTTAAGCCAACTTAACGGTTAAGGTTACACCAACTTAGCAGCAAAATACACAGAAGACAGTTTCACAAACACAGGATTCAGCAGTTCTTCTGCATCCAAACATCTTGACTGCAGTATTGTTTTATTACCTTTTACAATTAAACAGTTATGTGTTCAATGAATCGTAATCAATTACTTCAAGCCATATGGGACCAAAGCATGTCCACAGCAAGGAGACCGCAGCATGTGGAGAAAGCCAGTGTTTCTGTGGAGTATTAGCAACAGTTAAACAAAAAAATATGTATTACTTGGGGAGAAGCTGCTGATCATGGATTAAGTAAGAACAAACAAAAAGCCAGAGTAGAATTTTTATGAATACTTTATAAGTTAAAATTTGGAAAAGAAATCAAGCCAGACACCAAAATACATCAAATGATATGTGACTCACTGGCTGCCTGAGCTTTTTTACCTACGTGCCAAGATATACCCCCATTAATTGTCTACATATCTCTGTGCGGTTCAACGGTACTGAAAAAATACTGACATACCAAAAACTTTGACGACCTCCGATTTTCATTATTTTTTGCAAATTTACCACTACATTTGCTTGAGTTTAGCTGCATTCTGGGCAACTTCACTGGTCAGACAGGACTTCCCCAACCCAAACAATTAAACACGTGTTGCAATAAGTATATTTTAGTATATTAGCTAAACGTTGATTTTTACTTAATAACCTTTGTTTCCTGTCATCGCTGGACCGTACAGTACACTGGAACAGGAAGCACGGTATTCGTTTGCATAAAATTAATATACAAGCATGCTCCAAAATAAAGTTATGAATGCAACCCTCATATGTGTTATTTTACGATTAATTTGTTTATCCTCGGAGCTGTGTTAATGCAAAAAAACAGCGTCCGTCTTTAGCTTAATGCCTGTGCATTTGACAGTAATACACCCCATAACATAATACGGTTATTACGGGAGAAGTAATTTGGCCATAGTGAGGGTTGGTTTGTTTAGCTCCAGATATTGACAGCTTATTTGACACCAGGAAAATGTTTACACAGAAGAAACAGTATCGATCTGTGGGTATGAATCTCGTATTTCTTTATACAGTAATCGGGACACGCAAAGACCACATGTATCAGCTTGCCTGTTGGCGAATCAATGTCCGAAAAGCATCTATAAATGGCCTGGACACGGGGAGCATATAAAGTATGTTTTACACGAACAATTTTAATGTAGGGGGTCAGTCTCGGGCTGCATTTACAGCTAAACTGACGGAGCATAAATAAGTTGCGCTGGAGTTATCCAGTGAAGGCTTCCCCAGATACAGTACTGAACTTTTATTTCGGAGAACAGTACTGCTAAAGCGGAGGCTCCCTCTGCCCCTCGCTACAGAAACAGGAGACAACTCTTGTAACTCTCCACCCCTTGAACTTTTTGAGCGCTATCTTTTAGACCATATCTTTCTCCTTTCCATATCCCAAGAAGCATGCTTTTTCCTACGCGTTTGCACCGGTAACGCTGCCTTCACACTTGCCGTGTTTGCCTTACTTTCATTGCATCGTTATATTATAATATGCCATGTCTCCAGGAGAGCCGGCTTCTCCCCTTTCTGTTGCTGCATTTCGCCTGCTTGGTTGCACCCCGCGTCGGGTGCCTTCCGTCGGACGGCTTCCACTTTCCTGACCCAGATCAAGGTGAGTGATTTCAGTGATTTTCCACGTTAATTATAGGCAACAATCTGCTCTTCCTTCTCCCAATGACTTCTGCTTGTTGGTTAAGAGTGTTTGCATGAGTGACTATATAATCTTCGCTTACACTTTGTGAAAAAAGTAAATAATACAAATGCAAACACAGTTAGTTTTCTTCTTTCTTATTTCGCATATCTCGGCTCTATTCCCCTTAACTTCTGGGCGCGCTCATCTTTCATGCCCTTAATACAATAATTTGACTTTTTTTTTTTTGTAAGATCGACATGACATGCCTGGTGTAAACTCATACTGTCTATACATAAAGCGAAACGGGAAGGCTGTTTGATGCCAGGGAATGCAAAATTCGGGATTGTGGGGGCGGTACCCAGATAGAAATGAACGGGTTTACAATGAACAAAAGCAGGAGACTGTTTAATATGCCCACCCCAGATCATACTGCTGGTGCTGAGTTGATACCTCATAGCAGCTCACATGTGCATCTTACCTGTGCCTGGATTCGTCTGTTTGACCCTATGATGATGGTTCCAACTAAGGTCAATAAAGTCACCCCAAAAAAATTAGGTTAGGCACCAACAGTGGGCGGGGTTATTATGTGCTGTCAATCACCGTCAGGTTCCGCCCAATAAGAAGCAAGAAATTAATTGATTGGACGTACAGTCGGTGACTGATAGCACAAGCATCCACAACCATACGTGGGGTCTGAGGCCACATATGTGTGATCTGCAGCCTCCACCGCTGACTGTGTCCTGAATTTCAGCCATATCTAATGGTCTGCAGGCTTTAGCATTGACAAGATCAGCCTTAATCTATGGCAAAGTGTTTTTGGGAGGTAATGTCCCTGAACTAGTTAAACTTGTTACATTTAATCATTGCTGTTTTATTCCTCTGTGTAGAGCAGCAATGATAATTCCTGAAAATTTGGGTAAAACTGAAGGCACATTTCTGTGTGATTGACCTAAACCACAATTGTATGTAGTTTGTCAGGTGTAAATGGCATGAGGAATACAGTGTACACTGATTCAAAGCCAGTGACTCTAGGGACGAGTTCTTCCTGTTTTTGAATGGATAATGTGTCTGTAGGCTAGTAACTTCTTGTGGGGATGTACTGGACTAGAACTGTGGTCTAGATTTGTGTGTGGTGCTGTGATGATCATTGGTCTAATTTTGGATCATTTTTAGGGTTTTGCACTGGGCAAAATGTTAAGAAGCTCATTTGGTGAAAGATGCGGTCGGAGATATCAGCATTGGCTTCATTCATAATGATTAAACGGTGGACACTTTGAAATCACCGAATCGTCATTTGAGGCTTTCCTTCTCGATTCACAGGCGACTTCATCCGCTCTCAGCATGAATTCTCCGTGGTCCGTCCGAGGCGGGTCAGCCAAGATGGGCGGTTTATGTCCTTTTTACTGACGCATCACTTCGGACACGGACGGGACAAGCGAGACTTGGAGCCGTCTGAAAAGTATGTTTACTACGCGCTTGCCTTCAGGGGCCGGGATTTGACCTTTAACCTCACTGCCAACAGCCATTTGCTCGCAAATGAATATGTGCTGGAGAGGAGATCTGGGGCCTCGAACGTGACGCTGCGGCGGCGGGCGTCTGGGGAAAATGCCTGTCACCTTATTGGGAGCGTGATGGACTCCAATTTTGAAGGGGCTGCAGCCATAAGCACCTGTAAGGGATTGGTAAGGATATTTTGTTTTGTTAAGGGCCTTCGTTGGCTTTCTAGTGCCTGTTAACATGCTGGCAAGGGGTGTTTTTTTTTTGGTATTTGATTTTCAGCCTTCCTTTGCTGCCAATAATGAACAGGCGAACAAGTTGGACAGCCTAGAACTTTATTCTGACAGGAATCCTGCATGGTCAAAAACAGACGGCAAAAACAATAATGATAATGTTATCTGCTATGGCTTTCCCACCTCTACTCCCCTGGATGAATCTCTCCTTCATACCTCCCATTTTCATCCTCCCGTGTTTTCTCTTCTTTGCTATGGTCCGTTTCTTCTCCTCCTTTACAACATCTGTGCGGAAATATTTTCCCTCTGGTAATTTTGCAGAGGTGCATATTTCAGGTCCAGAAAGTAAAAATCCAGACCAAGATTTTGTTTCAACCAACCAGTTGAGCATAAACAGTTACAGTCATAGAGTATTCAACTCGTTGGTTGAAACAAAATGTTGGTCTGGATTTTTACTTTCTGGACCTGAAATGTCCACCCCTGATAATCTGCACGGTTATTCCCCGTCTTTTCCTGTTTGACCAGGCTTAATTCAAACCCGAGTGACATTTCCCCTGTTTCTGTTTAGGTTTCTCATGGTTGTTATGTTTTGCTAATGAAGCAGACTTTCAAACCAGTCCACATATTTGTTTTATCTACATGGAGCTTGTGACTGTGGGGAATGGGGACTTTTGAACTACCAGTCAAACAAGGCGGGGCCACTCATCTTATTAATGCGGTTTCGTATCAGAATGTCTGTAGCTTACAGGGCAGAATTTACCACATAACGACTAAATGCATCTTCAAAATGTTTGGAGATCATAGCTTTTAGTGCCATTTGGGTTAAATATCTACAGATCCTATGTTTGGGTTTATAACAACATTTTGGAAAATAAAATGCTTAAATGGATATGCATGATAATTATAACCACACAGTACAGAAGAGTAATGCATGTATAATGCATTATAGTGTAACTGCAGACACATACTGACGCTGTGGAGCTGTGAATTATAAAGCATTTTCATTCTGGAGCTAAATCAGACTGCAGGCTTTGATGTGACTTCTGTCATAATGCAAACCCTATATTTAGTTCTTTGAAGTTGTCTGGCTTTTCTAGTACTTCCTGATTTGTGGCAGGAAGAACATGTGACGGAGCTCTTTGCACGTGTGCCCCTGTCAGACAATGGCTGCTTGTTCTGGCGTGCCGCCCTGACGGCCAGCTGGAGATTAGCAGAGGTCTGTCTCTCTCGGTGGAGCTGGTGGGTCCCAGTTCCCCTATAGGTCCCTTGCAGGCACTGAGACTGTGGTTGAGCTGACATGTGCTGATTGACCTGACGTCACTTTTATTATTCTCTCGTTCTGAGTTCAGATCCTGCTCTCTTGTCATCCATCTTAAATTAGTGAGGAAAACACAGCCCTCACCACCGTGTGCCAGTCATGGGCTGATTGACTTCCTCCTGGAGGGGTGCATTATTGATATGAGGGTTCTGTGCACCTTTAGGCACCATGTAAACTTGGGTCTGTCTGTGGCGTGGCACCTTTACTACCAAGGCACCCCTGTAAATTTATGGTGAAGACTCTTCCAGTCAGTTCACCTTGCTGTCTTTCTTTGTGTTTGATGGTGGGCTGTGACTCTGTAACACAGCCGAATGTCTGGGTGTTCCAGGAACGCCCATCGCTGCACTTCTGTATTGCCTCGAGGGACCCCAGTTAAAAGTAGATAATCTCATTGCCATAAAACGTGGTGTTTGCAAATAGTTTTGAACTTGGCTGCTGTTCATGTCAGGAGCATTTTATAAAGCCTGGTAGAGCCTGATACTGAGAACTTCTTAGATACATTTCCTTTCTCATAGGATTTATCCTAAAGGATTTATCGCAGCCTTCCTCCTGCAGCTTGTCCTAGATCTCAATGTCCGCAGTGTTAGCAGAGGAATGCCCATCCTGCGCCGTCATGTAGCCTGTCGCTCCCCCAAGCTCACTCACACGCCCTCCAGTACCTTCACTGCTGACAGTGTTTGCTCTTCCCAGTAAATATTTGCATTGTCACCGCCAGAGCTACTGCAGTGTAAAGGGATTGTTGATGCCCCACAAGCAATCAATGTAACGCAACATCTCCGTCATATCAGACACCGACGTCCTGTAGAAGAAGGAATGGAGTTTGGTCTTTTTTGTACCCTTCTTCTGTCTGTGAAGTCGCCCTTAAATCTGATTTTGTTATGATACGTCTATCTTAAATATAGAAAGATATTCACGGGAAATTGCTAAAATCTGCTTAAGTATGAACATGCTTGGTTGTCATTTTCTAATTCTGATAAACAAAATGAAATAAAATATGGTCCGATGTGACTAAACTCAGGTAGGTATGATAGTTAACATCCAGTCCTGGAAAGCGTATGTGAGTCAAGATCATCAAGCATCCATGAGTGTGATACCCAGGTTTCAGACTGCGGTGAGTCTCAGTCAAAGTGGAACCGGAGTGTGGGATTAGCAGGGGAGGGGGGTAGTGAGGTAATGAATCAACAGTAGAACAAGGTCATTGTCTTTAACACATACTGACATCTGACTGAAGCTACTTATTTTGGAGAATGAGTCTCTTTGAACTGTAACTGTTCTCTGATGAAATACCAAGGTAGGGAAGAGTGGCAATAAACGCTAATCCTGAGGGGTTAAAGGTCATGATACTGTCAAAATGCCACAAATCTGTCAAGATCCCACCAAGAGAAGGACATCAGTAGATATTGTGGCTAAGTACCATCCCTGGAGGAGTTATGTTTCCGTGGTACCCTGGGGTAAGGTTTTTCCTCGGAATAGATTTGGTCGAAAAAATAATCACCCGAGTACAAAAATGATGAAATACATGACATAAGGGTTAATAAATTAATTTGAGTTGTTATCCTTTCTGTGCAAAGCTGGTGGGGCTGTGTGTGCAGTTAAAGGCTCTGCAGTTTCTTTGGGTAAAATATGCTGCTTTGTGGTCCTACGACGGTCCTGTCTCTGTCTTTAGCCTCGTCTGAGGAAATGTGACCTTTCATTCAATGTCGCCGCACATAATATGATGTCTGCCAAGATTTTAAAAAATCACCTGGATCTTTCAGCCATTTTGTAACTGTTTATGTTCCGTGCTACATACGGAGCCACCGTGCTACATGAATTTTGTTCCGTAAAATTCCACAGTGAACACGAATGTTACACTTATTATATCAGTTCCCAGAAGGTTGTTTCCTTAAGCTTGATTTGAATCAAGCAGCTCCAGACAGGTTTTGGGGACGTGTCACGTGAGGAACCCCCTGCTGCTTTGCAGAAGCTCGGCAGGGCTGGTGAGTCAGCATGGTGGACCAGCCTCTCGGGGGCTTCGCCTTCCCGGGTTACACTGAGCCATACATGGAGAGCAGCAAGCGGGGGTGGGCTGGAGTGGGGAGTGTCCACAGCGGGCTCGGAAAGCACATGCTGCTGGAATGTAAGAAGGAGCCCAGCTTGTGCTCCACGTCAGCAGCCTCCCCCCCCCAGTGTGATTTAAAGGGTAGGGAAATGGAACCAAAGCAGAACTGGATTAGGCAAAAGTAGCAAGGGCTAAGGCAGGAAACATGGATGTTTCACGTTAAAGCGACTATTTCTCATTTATTCATTAATATCCACAAAAAAAACAGAGCAAGGGTCCCAGGTTTTTGCTCTTCATCCGAATTTGTGTTGTGAAACTCAATTAGGATTTTAAGGGTTTATTGTCATTTGTTCTAGTACAAAGTACAAAACGGCTACATTGCTTGAAAAATCTAGCAGTTCACTTGAGCGGTTAAGTGTTAACTTGGACTCCCCTAGAGGCAGACAAGCAGCTGCCCGTCTCACATTCTTAATTTTTACAAAGTGTTTTAGCACCAATTACTTTTGTTTTTTTTTTCTTTTTGAGGACATCAGTCATTTAACATATTTATTGTTACAGATCATTTTTTGATTATCTATTTTGCAAACATATTTTTGTATTTCTATCTATCTATCTATCTATCTATCTATCTATCTATCTATCTATCTATCTATCTATTCATTAGTGTATTTATTTGTTTGTTTATTTTTTTGTCTGAGTACTTTTTGAGTACTTGTATTATGTGCAATGACAATACAGTTGATTCTAATCTAATGTAATCTAATGGTGCTTAAATTCTCCAGCAGGCCTGGTACTTTTTAAATAACTTTATAGTCTAAAATAGAAGGGCTTTTACCTTTTTGACTTTCATATATGGATTCTTTTCAAACAATACAGTTGTAGTGTAAACACAGAAAGGGAAGGCAGAAAATAAGTGTTTTATTTCATAATTACTCGTACTGTATTACATATGTATGGTGTGAAGCTGAAGACATCGCTGGGAGTTCTGAAAAAGCTTTAGTGCCGTTTAGTTTCAGGGAGGTCCCAATGCCCAACATAGATGAATGTGATATTTTATTTCCTACCAAAAACTGCATAATCTGCCAGTGTAGACTATCGACTTGGTGAAGCCATTTATTTGTTCCTTCTCTGCAGAAAAGATTTCAAATTAAAATTTAAAAGTTTTTTTTTTCTCAGTTTTTGTTGTTTGGGATTACCACACACATAGATTTCTTTTATCTATGCCAGATACGGTTTATGATCGGGATGGTAATATGTTTATCTTTTAATTAAGAAGTGTGAAGCTTTAAAGGTTAGCACGAGTTGATGGAGATCTGACATCCTCTAAATCAAAAGGGCCAAACAAACCAATGGACTGAATAAAATGCGGGTTTACTTGGACTCGTTCCACCTAGATCTGCAGGTTGTGTGGATTGCGAGTCAGTGTCCCTCTTAAGGCACTTCAGACGTACATAGGGAATGTAGGGCCTGATTATGACACATATGTAGGAGCTTTATATCGCTTAGGAATGTAAAGACGTCAGCAGGACTTCTGTTCTGAGGAGCTTTATGCATGGAACTGGGCTCAGCCAGTGAGAGTATTAGTCTCCACCATAGTCCCCTAGCCTTGCATTTTTGACAGTGGGTCTTTATTTGTAATCTGCTGGAAAAATTGTACTTTCCAGTTTGATTCAGCATTATACATGCATTACACTTCTGTACTGCATAGTTAAAATCATAATGCATATCCGTTTAACCATTGCCTTTTCCAAAGTGTTATTATAAACCCACACATAACATCTGTGGATCTGTGAACCCAAATTATTGTACATGGGTGAGGCAGTTTGGTGGCATGGTGGTGCAGTGGGTGGTGCAGTGATTAGCACTCTTGCCTCACACCACTGGGACCAGGGTTTGAGTCTCCGCCATAGCTCCATGTGTGTGGAGTTTGCATGTTCTTCCCATGTTATCACGGTGTTTCCTCCAGGTCTCTCACACCCTCCCCCCACTGTCCAAAAACACACTGAGGTTAATTGGAGTTACCAAATTGTCCGTAGGTGTGAATGGTGTGTGTGCGTGTGCCCTGCAATGGGTTGATGCCCATCCTTGGTTGTTCCATGCCCGTCTCTGCATCCCCCTCAACCCCGAACAGGATAAGCAGTTACAGAAAATCGAGGGTGTTGTAAAAAGTAGTAATCCTGTAAAAGGAAGGAAGATACTTTTGAGGAAAGTGCCAGTGAAGAGACCATCATGTCCTGCATAAATGAATAATGCACAGCTGTGGAGGAGGAAGGTGGTGAATGACTTTGCCACCTCATCTGGGGGCTGCGTGAGGTTTTGTTCATCTTCCCCTTGCAAGTCCTCCGACCAAGTTTGCTGACTTGGCATTCCCCCCTGAATCCAGCAGAAGCTTCAGGAGGTCCAGGAAGCAGTAAACCACTTCCACATGGCTTCTGTATTTAGCAGGTTCCTGTATGAGTTTAGTCTCCCTTGGTGTAAGCGTTAGCTGAAAGCTTTCAAGTGTATTCTAGATTATTATTCACAGAGGTGAAGAATGTGGAGCTTTGTCTGCTGAAGATGAAGGTCCGCTGAAGGTAATGGAAGCATGGTGTAGTGTAGTGAGCGTTGAGTGGACCTCAACACTGATGGTGTACTTCAGGAAGTGTGGGTAATGCAGTTGTACTTCTTTAGAATGATAGCAGGAGAAAAGCTTGATCCCAAACGGAAATGAGTAAATTAGGAATGAATTGGCGCACTCTGTCGAGATGGTGCCATGTTACTCAGTGTTTGATGCTTGGTGACGGTGGTAAGATGGTCATTGCTGGTGTTTTGTAGCAAACCGGCCCCAGGCCAATGTCTACGTGGTGATACAAAGCTGTTTTTTTTTAACAAGTCAGCCTTGCTCTTGGAGTGAGGTGAAATGAAGTGTGCAGATTCACTCAAGGTCTGAGAAGTGGCAGTATCAGCAACAGACACATTTTAGTTACATATTCTCTGCTCTTAACTTTGAGTTTGGTACAAAGTCAAGGCAAAGCTAGACCTTTGGGTGACAGACCCTTGGAGAACATGTTTAAGGAGGAGCCATCCTTACTAATCCAGGTAGGGTCATGGTGGCCTGGGGGGAGAAAAGCAGGGGGCTCCTTGGACAGATTGCCAGTCCTAGAGTCACCAACATAAAGGGATCGATTACAGTGATGATTTCACTTTCAGTTTGTGTGTTTGTATGGGGTTCTTCGCATGGTCTAAACACAGCAAGAACATGCAGATGCGGGTGGCTGGTCTGATTCACTCTTACAGCCCTGGAGGTGAGAGGTCATGCCACCACACACTGTAAAGTGAGTTATTAACTACATTAATGTATTTTTGATAAGAACCTTTGATATAGTGATCATCATACTGGGAAATATGAGCATTTCTGAGAAACTGAGGTGACCTTCAATGCCCTTATAGTTCAGCTGGCTCTTATATTCAAGCACCATGATGTTTTGACCTTATTTGCACCTTATTAGTACAACCGGACATTTAACGAAATCTTTCTACTTACATGGTCAGCCTGTTTCTTAGCTACACGACAGCAGTCTAATATCACATGATGTCTTTGGTAGTAACATGATGCTTTTAACAGATGCGATTTTTACAGGGGCATGGAGCATTAAGGTCCAGTTGTTCTTACTCATTCCTCTACCAGCCAGGTTAGTTTTGTCTAAGAAGAGAATGCCCACTTTAAACACTTCACTACTCTTTGAGCCTTTAGCTGCTGATGGAGTGTGTGATACGCTAAGAAATCTTAACATTTCCATCCTAACGTTTGAGGCTATTTGGCTCAACACGTTCCGCACGTGTAACATCCCAAGTTCTGGGACGGGTGTTCAGCTGACAGTTGCCACGGAGAGCGCTCCTCTCCAGGGGATCCTTCTGGGGGGGTCATGGCTCCTTTGACAAATCAGATGGCTCTGGGCGTCTGTCGTTTCCTGTCGTCCTCCAGGGTGCACTACTACCTACATCAGATCTCTTCGTGTTGGCATCTGACAAAAAGTGCTTTAATAAAGTGAATCTACAGCTGGTTTCACTCATCTTATTGGTTCTGCTATTACTCAGCAAGACGAAAAACCCGAAAGGTTCCCCACAAACATGTCATTTGATTCCCTGACATAGCAGACAGAAGACTGTCCCTGATGGCAGGACAGGGGGACACGAAGTAGGGGATGAGACAAGAGATGGAGGGAAGGGGAAACTGGTCGAGGCAAGAAAAATCTGGCTTCTAGCTTGACAGGGAGGGGGTTAGGGTTAGGGGTGCGAGACGGGTGGTGGGGGGGGTGGCCTGAGCAGGGGTGGGGAGTGTGTAGGACGGGTGGAGACATGCATGCCCGGAGAGATCCTGGCCTGAATCCGCCTGAATGAGCGAGGGAGGGAATGTGCTCAGGGCAAGGCAGACCTTATTTAAAAGAGAAATTAAATACCCTGTTGAGTTTCGTTTGTTTAACGGTCATTCAGTTTCATGCGGCCATGAATATATTTTTTTTCCTGGAGGTGTGCAGTGACTGTTCCCCAAAGCAGTGTATGTAACAGAAGAGTTTGTGTCTATCAGCGTGCTCTTATTTGCCACATCCAAGAGGTGTGTCTACAAAAGGAAAGCAGATTATTTACATTGGCTTTAATATTCACTGTTTAATTTTACCCCCAAAACTTGCCTGATTTCCTCATACATATATTTTTAGCATTATCCTCTGCACATGTTATTTATCCTAGCAGTTTAACATAATCCAACAGCCGTGCAGCATCAATGGAAACAGCCCCCTGCACTAACCCTCTTCTTTGGCGATGTTTTGTAGACGCTCCACATGTGACGGTATGATTAGAGGAATACTGTAGTTCTCACCTGCGAACCACTTGTAGTGTAATACAGGCCTGGATTTAGCTTTGTGGCGTCCCTTAGATTAACAAAAGGCAGGTGTCTGTGTGGGGGTATAGCTCAGTGGTAGAGCATTTGACTGCAGATCACGAGGTCCCTGGTTCAAATCTGGGTGCCCCCTGCTTCAATCTGTTTTAGGAATTCCCCTTGGGATTAATAAGGTTCATCTTATCTGAACTCTATAAATCAACCATTATAGTCTTTAGTGGATGCTTTAGTCTAAAGTTACCTGAATGTTTTTGGAGAAAATGAAGGTTTTGGTACAGAACATGTGCAGTATCTTTGAGGATTGAAAATATCTTTTTTTACAAGATGTGTCATTTAGCTAGCATTGTAAAATTATGAATACTATTTCAGTTCAAAACGTACTAACTTGATTACTTTTAAATATGTTTTTCATATGCATATCCCGTAAATTTAAAATTAGCACCTCAAAGATCAAAATGTAAACCTTTAAGGAGGTTTCGCAAACGGAAAGTGAAGCGAAATATTTTCTGAGTACCTAAAACAAAAGTTATATGTAAAGTATGTAGCCTATTTCCACGAGGAAGCTAAATCTCAGGAGGCAGACATGCATTCTTAGTTACACTTCAGTTCCTTATACACCAGGCTGCTATCTCGCTGTCGAACACCAGGCTGATTTCTGAGTCTGTCCCTGTGTGTTTGTTCCCCACAGAAAGGCTTCTTCAGCCTCCCCGAGGGCCATCATTTTATTGAGCCTGTACAGGGGTACGAAGAGGATGTCCAGCCCCATGTTATCTATCAGTCCACCCCTCCCAGCAGGACCCGACGCAGCCCCCAGAGTCGGGGAGGGCCCAGCCCATGCGGACTTAGAGGTGGGGGCCACATCAGTCATTCGCGTCGGCATTACATGGGACGTGAAGCCTAGCTACTGGAGTACATTCAACTATAGACACAGCTGATGGGCGGGGCTTTCCTGACCAGCCAATGACTAGCACTTTTAGTCCAGTGAATTGGTAGGTATGTCCCACAGAAGCCCAACCTTTCGGAGCTGACAGCCAATCCCCAGCTCGAGTACAGAAGCATTACATTACATTACATACAAGCTATTACATATTTCTGTCAAAACTGTACTAATGTGACTGGTCTTTCTAGGTCTGACAACACATTTCTGATAAATTCTGTGATTCTGTGTGCAAGGGTAATTTTAATCATGCAATGGCAAAACGTTCTTTTAACTTCGACTCAATCGTTGCCTGAACCATGTGTTATTTTTATGCACGGAGGCCGCCCCCTAAACCACTGTGATGTCATTGGTGTGTCCCCGCAGACGCCCCCACGGCCGCGCGCCGCGTGGAGCTGGAGCGGGAGGCGTGGGAGCGGAACAGCCCGGGACAGGCGGGCCCACGCAGGATGGCACAGCGCTCTGTGAGCCGCGAGCGCTGGGTGGAGACCATGGTGGTGGCGGACTCCAAGCTCATCGAGTACCACGGCGTCAGCAACGTGGAGTCCTACATCTACACCATCATGAACATGGTGGGCAGGCGGTGATCGTGTGGCAGATGCCCTTTTGGACTATACTGTAGATGCTCCTCGCTTGACTTGATATTTCAGCATTACGATGGTGCGATAGTGATGCACATTTAGTAATCATCAAGCTTTGAATTCTAACCTGTTCCTGTGTTAGCGGTATGTCGCACGATACTTTCTACGGCAGTATCCACATAGCCACGCTCCCAGTCTCTGTAGCGATCGCGAGCATAAACATCCCATACGGTGTTTAACAACATCCCATACGGTGTTTAACAACATCCCATACGGTGTTTAACAACATACCATACGTTGTTGTTTTCGTGTGATTTATCATATCATATTCACATTTGACGATATTTTCAATATACGAAGGCTTCATTGGAACGTAACCCCATTGCAAGCTAAGGGGGGGCTGTATATATATTAGGAACATGATTCTTGATATTAATAGAGAGGTTCTGAGCATAGATTGCATTTTTGGATCGATATATTTGGAGCATGATTTTTTTAGCGTTCCAAAATATAATGTAAAATTTCATATCCAAAATACCTAGTTATACTTTACAATTTATATATGTAGAATATAATAGTAAGATACATTTCACTGCTTTGTACACATATCCATGACTACCTGAGTGTTTTCAGCTTTTATCAAACAGCAAAAATTATGGTCTGAATATTAGCCCAGATTATTTCCATAAGATGGCTCACTTACCTGCATGTTGTTTTTGTGTTAATTATGTTGAGGCTTTAACGGTGTTTTGTGCATGACGTGCTTGCAGGTGGCTGGGATTTTTCATGATGCTAGTGTTGGGAATGCCATCCACATCATTCTGGTGAGGCTCGTCCTGTTACCGGAGGAAGAGGTAAAGTCCCCACTGCTGCTGGCATTTTTGGCACGTTGGACGCGTAGTTTGGAAACACAGCTAAATGGAAAATCTGTGAAGTTTTCCCTAAAAATACTCTTTTATGGCTTCTGGGTGGAAGGTTGGATTTGTATTTTTGTTCAAAACACGCCTTTAGCATTTAGAAGCTAAACTGGCATTTATCTATTCCAAGCCTCCACAAAATCCTGGACTGCCTGCATCTGGTGAGGCAGTAGCTATGTGGTCTCACCCTAGAGCCCAATTCAGCACGCCCTCCCGGAGAGGAAGTGCTTGAAGACTGCTCAGCTCCGAAGAGCATTGAGGAGCTTTACTGCTGCCCTGAACCCTGCCCGCGTGTTCCTGTGCTCTTCTGCCTTTCCGTAGAAGGGACTGAAGATCACCCATCACGCTGACAACACTCTGTCCAGCTTCTGCACCTGGCAGAAGAATGTGAATCACCAGAGCGACACCCATCCCGCACACCATGACGTGGCGGTGCTCATCACCAGGCAAGCCCTTCCTTCCGCAGAACATCCTTATCATCTTATCGTTACTGCTTTTGTCAGCTGCACTGTGTGTTGTCTTCTCCTGTAATATTGTATTGTTGCTCTTGTGTTTATATTGCACTCCCTTTCTGCTCTTTTGCTCTTTGTATAGTTCTGTCCTGCCTGCACCTGTGTAGTCTTGTGTTGTTCCTGCTTTTGTTCTTTGTGTTGTACCACGGTCCTGTAGAAACAATGTTTCATTTCACTGTGCATTGTGTATATGTCAGAAATGACAATAAGCCTACTTGACTTGACTTGATAGTCAAACCCACTTATAGAAATGCCAGGGAACCAATAAGCACTAGGGACTGTGACGGGCGCTTCTCTGTGTGGCAGGAAGGACATCTGTGCGGGCATGAACCAGCCGTGTGAGACCCTCGGCCTCTCCCACCTCTCCGGCATGTGCCAGCCACACCGCAGCTGCAACATCAACGAGGACTCGGGGCTCCCTGTCGCCTTCACTGTGGCTCATGAGCTGGGGCACAGGTGTGCACACGTGAGAATGGCCGTTCAGCTGTGTCTGCCCAATGGTCTTGTAGGTCCAAGCGAATGAATGGAAGACGTACACTATATGGACAAAAGTACTGGGACATCAGCTTGTCCAACATCTTACTCTGAATCCAAAGGCATTAATATGAAGTCGGCTAACCCTTAGCTGCTATAATAGCCTGTACTCTTCTGGGAAGGCTGGGAAGATGTTGGAACCTTGCTGGCGAGCTTTGCTGCTGTACAGGTTGGGTATTGATGTTGGGTGATCGGGTCCCTTTATGTCAGCTTGTATAGCTACCACTTCTCAGCCAGACTTTGCTCCCAGATGCTTCCACTTCACAATCACTTCGCTTGTGGTTGACCAAGGCAGCTCTAGCAGGACAGACTTGTGGAGAACCGACTTGTAGGAAAGGTGTCCAATGACAGTGTTAGGTTGACTAACCTCTTCTGTATGACCACCCATTCTATGCGTATTAAATTACTAGAGGACGTTAACAATGACCACTCACTTGAGTTTGTTGTTCAGCATTTTTAGAGAGGTGGTGTACCCAGACAATTTTTAGCCACATGTCTGTATTTCTAAAAACATTGTTAACTAGGGTGGCAAAGAATCCCTGTCAGGGAGGACACTTTGAGCTACTTCAGGTTTTACAAACTACTTTAAAACTGAAAAGCTCCTGTGTTCAGCTAAATAGTTCAACTCTTTTTGTGCTTTGACTGGTTTGTTTCCTTGATTTGAGAGACTCATCCAGCTGTTTCACATTAACATTAGTGATACATGCATGATTGAAAGAGGCTGATCAATCAGCAAGCAGCAAGATCTGAGTGCTTAAGTGAAATCCAGGTCCTTTTCATTGAAATGGTAGTTTACAAATCTTGTGCTACACTGTCAAAAAAAGTACCAATTTGTACCTTTGAGGGTACAATTGCTTGTTACTGGGGCTGTATCCTCAAGGGCCCGCCAGTTGTACCCTAGCTATAGGTAAATGTACCTTTTAGGCTAAAGAAATGGACTCTGAGGAGTATTTTTGTAGCATTGTGGGTATATTAATGTTGTTTATACCTTGGGATACCAGGGCTGTACCCTTTATTCTGACTGTGTAGCTGAAAGTGTCCTCCCTGACATGGATTATCTGCTCACCCTAACTGGTTTGGGGAGGATGACTGTTTTCAGTGAAATAAGCAGTAAAGCTTCTCACACAGTAGCTGTAGCCTCAGCTGTGGACGTCTCACATCCAGGTGTTGTTGCTCTAGTTATGTCCAGTTACGCGGGTATTTGTAACGTGACCTACTCGATGGTGCTGTATCTGTAACATGACTGCTGCAACTAATGTTTGACGTGCCAACAGTTTTGGGATCCAACATGATGGCCAGGGGAACGACTGCGACCCAACGGGGCGGCAACCCTACATCATGTCCCGCCAGCTGCAGTACGACACCTCGCCCCTCACCTGGTCACCCTGTAGCCGGGAGGCCATCACGCGCTTCCTGGAGTGAGTGACACCCTTCCGTGTGTTTTCCTCACCTCCCTCATCTCCCTCTATCGCCGCTCTTTCAGCTGGAACATCTGCACTTTGGTTAGATCAGGTTTAGCCTTTTGTGTTTGGGATTATCCTGAGGAACCTGGTTTCTTTGTGCTGCTAGATGTGGTTCTACTTCATTGCACTTTCTGTGGGATCCGCTCACTCAGCATGTCTTCCCCTAGGCTTTTAGTAACCTGGCTTCTTGCCTTCTTCAAGTGTCCCTGGAATTTTGGCCACGTTGGGCTCCCAGGGGGAAAACTAATGACACCCACGTGAAACTAACCACACCCATGTTAGCTTGACCTAGATTCTGAAGCCAGATTCAGGTCACCCATCTGTCTAATTTCAAGAACATCTTAAATTCCCTGAGCTGGACTGCAGGCCATAAAATATACTGTGATAAGTGCAATCCAGTTTTAAACTGGTAACAAGACACTAGTTCTGCAGTTTTTTTTGCATTATTGTCCACCAGAAGTCAATGGTGCTACCAGCATAATCCCCATTCGCAAATTCCTTATGGAGATTTCTGCGGGTTTACTGTGTGAGTTTATTAGTCAGCATCCCTCTATCCCTCCCTCCTCTCACCTCCCTACCCCCCCCTTCCCTTTCTCCTGGTCTCATGCCTCTCCCTGGTGACTCATAGTCGTGGTTGGGGGTCATGCCTGGATGACCGGCCCTCCAAGACAGATCTCAGCACATCTTTGGAGGCCCCTGGTGTGAAGTACACCATCCAGCACCAGTGCCAGCTGCAGTATGGTCCCAATGCCACCTCCTGCCCCCAAGTAGAGGTGAGAGATCAAACACTCCATTCCTGGTTTGGCACAGATCAGCCTATTTAGCCAGTTTTACTTGCTTGGCTTGTTTACCCCGTTTACCCAGCCAATTTAGCTATTTAACTAGTTAGCATATTCAGCACGTTTACCCAGTTTAGCTTGTTTGGCCTGTTTACCCAGAGATTTAAGCCATTTTAACAATTCGGGCTGTTTCTCCTGTTTAGGCAGTTTACCTTCACTAGCCGGCTTTCTCTGATTTCCCAGCTATTTCAGAGATGTAGCCATTTAAACTATTTAACCCTCTTCTCCTGCTTAGCCTTGTCATCCTTTTATGGAAATTCAGGCCATCTTGCATCAAACCAGTATGACAAAAAGTGGGAAAAAATATGATGATGATGGAAATAGGCCTCGTAACCTCAGATGTCTGACTCAGTGCCCAGATTGTTCTGCAGAGGCTTGTGAGTCATTTGCAAATGTGCGGTAGCAGATGCAGGCATGGGGGAAAAATGAGCATTTCAAACATTAAGTCGTGTATATTTCTCCCAGTGTCAGAAGCTGTATATACAATGTGTGCTGCATTTTCGCCTTCTCCTCTTGACTCTTGCTCAGTCTCTGCAGCTGGTCTTCTCCCCTTCTTGATTTGTTGTCCAGCTGTACACAGTCACATCAGATTTGTTTGCCTTCAAAAGCTTCAACTTTAATGCAAGGTGTTTGAAAACAAATGAGGCCATATATGCACAGTAGATATCAGCAGCACATCCCTTCTACGAGAGATGGCACTGATCTGATGCCCGCTATCAGTATCGGGTCAGTACCGGCAAAAAACGAGGGTGGGGAGTAGCAAGAACCCATTCCGATTTTCCAAGAAAGATTGGTCTAGCCTGAAAAATCACGAAAATGCTGATAGCCTTAGTGTGACATACCATAAACAGAAGTGAGGGTCACATGATGGCCAGTTGTTCGGCAATGCATTTGTGTCGGAACCTTTATGTTGGCTGTGGAAATACAGTAACTGTACTTTACGCTGAGGGATGTGCAATGTATGTAAGGCTAGTGCTGATTTTTCTTAAGTCTCAACACAGTAAAATGTATGCAAACTAGATCATTAGACTTGTATTCTTTCTAAAGTTTGGTTATTACTTAAAAGTCTTGTGTGTGCTCCATTTGTACTGGAGACTTGTCTCGTTGTGTCTAGTTACTGCACGTTTGCAGCAGAAGCAGACTGGTGTAAATCCTCTCGGCCATGAATTTCTTCCTGTTGCTTGTTACTGTGCAACAAGGCAAAGGTGGGAAAAAGGTAATGAGCCACTGATGGGGTTTTAAGGAAATGAACACCAATGGGAAAGGCACAAAATAAAGGAATGCAAGGGATCGGAAAAAACAATGGTAAAAACAAGAACAGGCTCTAAGAAACGTATAGTAATGCAACAAGGAAACACTGGGAACAGGACAAGGCAATGGAACAGAGTAACAAACACGCAGTAACTAGACACAGGGACTGACTAACAAATGGAGCGAGGGCAGGCACTTAAATATGCACAGAGAATCAGGGCAAACAAGGGACAGCTGTACATCGTAATCAAATTAATCAATCAAAAGGATTCGGGTCAACAAGGAACAGGTAGGATGGATTACAATTAACAAGCAGTAGAACATTAACAAACACTACAGGTTAACAGCACTAAGAAAGACTAGGAACAGAAGTGCATGCAGAACATAATAAAACAAGGAATGAGCAGGATAACCTATAACAGGGACCCAAAGATAAATCATAACAGACACATGGAAGCTAGGGGCTACAAGACACAGGAAGGATCAGGATGGCCAGCGCCACCTTCTGGTCAAACGGGGATAAAACGCATAGGGCAGGGATGGAAGGGTACTGACGCTGACATAGCTTTTGTTTGAGCAACATGACCATTATATTTTCCCATTCTTATACTCAAACAATGCCGCTACAACACTAAATGCAGAAAATTTATATCATGCCATCTCTACATCCAACCCAATCTGTCTACCATCTACAAAGCACAGAACACGAGTTTGGAATATTCTGTAGAGCTCAGAACTTAGCGCTGAATTTCTGTCATCTGCAGAACATTTGCCAGATTCTGTGGTGCTCTGTGAATGGCTCCTGTCGATCCAAGATGGATGCTCCGGCTGATGGGACCAGATGTGGACCAAATAAGGTATGTTGCTGTTCTTTATTGTGGAGGGGGATTTACATTTTTCACTCGTGCCATGTGTATTTCATGAATTCATTCTGCTTTTGCTAAAAAGTGACACACTCCAGACAGAGGGTCTGTATCACAAAGCCTGGCAACTTGTCGGATTTAATGTAGTCTGGGCTAAATGCAAGTGAGCTAAGATAAAGTCCACGTAAACTGGGGTACCTTAAATTTGTCAACTTATCTGGCTAAGTAAGAAATCTGGCTTTGTGTTACAGGCCCCTAGTGTTTCATACCTTATTCATGATAAGATGTACATCTACTTAGAAAATAATCTGGGAAGCTAGTGTTTTGCTTACAAATGCCTAACAGTGAGGCCTGCACAGACAGCTCTTGTTGAAAATCCTGATCATTTATGTTGCCCTGCTACGTGTTTTTCTTCTATACATACTAAATGATGATTGGTGGTTGTTATCGTGGAACGAGACTATTGGCTGTATGTGTCATGTGGGGCTTAACTGGCAGAAACTCTCCTCGTGTCCCCCTGCAGTGGTGCATCTCTGGGGAGTGTGTAATCGTAGGGAAGCTACCCGAGACAGTGAACGGGGCCTGGGGTTTGTGGAGCTCCTGGTCTCACTGCTCCCGCACCTGTGGGGCCGGGATCCAGTCTGCTGAGAGAGAGTGCGACCGGCCCAAGTGAGTGATCCCCCACCCCAGTGCCTCATGCTCTTCTTTCTGTGCTTACAGATGGAAAACATATATGAAACGTGCAATTATACCACTCAGGATTCTGTAAGTCAATGTTTCTCAACCCAGTCCATCGGGAACTCGCAGCCAGTCCACATTTTTGCTCCCTCCCCACTGCCAGCACACCTGTACCAGGTGTTCGGTGTTCTCGATTGCTTGTTTTTGGATCAGGATGCTGGGAGGGAGCAAAAATGTGGACTGGCTGGGAGTTCTCGATGGACTGGGTTGTCTCAGATATGCTGCAGGTGTGTGGAAGCATGCTGCTTCACTGCAGTGTTCTCTGGGCTGTGTCCCAAGTCACCCAGTGTATTCCAAGATATTTTTAAAGGGTATTAAAGGTTATTTGAGAATTTGCTGGATTTATGGCTCGAGTGAAAGTGTATAGATAGCTACCTCACTCCACTCTGCCCCCCCCTGAGAAAGCAGCTGGCTCGGTCAGTGCAGGCATGTCTATATATCTCCCCAACTGGGGCTGACCTGCTCCCCACCCTGTCCCCACCCCTCCATACTGACCCCACCCACCACCATTGCTGCATCGAAGACGTTGTGAACATGCTGCAATCAATTATCATTACTTATGCTGATGAGAGCATAATGATGGCAGCATGTTGGTTACTGTGAAACCTGAAAATGTGTAGAAGCACCGAAGTCGGTCACTGTGACTTTTTTTTTTTTCTTTTAGGCCAGAATTTGGCGGGAAATATTGCATGGGCGAGCGAAAGCGCTACCGTGTCTGCAACAGCAAACGCTGCGGCCAGGAACAGCCTACCTTCCGCCAGATGCAATGCAGTGAGTTCGACACGGTACCCTTCAAGAACCAGCTGTACCAGTGGATCCCCGTTATCAGCACTGGTACGTTTCACGCTTGCCAGTAAACACCCCCCCCATCCTGGTCATGCTGTTTGCCCTGCAGCCTATGTTCAGAGTGCTGAGATCAGACCTTTTTATATTCCAGGATTTCATTTTTTAGTAATTACATCAGTGTTTATTGCCCGGCCTCATTTCATAGCAGTTTGTTAAACTATAACCCCCCCCCCCAATAAAATAAGCAAAACTGGATGACTACAGCCATATGTGCACTTTCTCCCCCCAGCTAATACAGCACTATTGAACTCACAATAAGAAAGTAGTGAGACAGTGTAAAACAAGTAATAAAAACATACCAGTGCCTTTGGAAAGGAATCGAGACACAGAATTAATTTCTTTTACATACAATCTACCGTTAAATAGTCGTAAAATAAAAACGCTCTTAGTTTAACTGCATTTTAGTGAGGTGTTGATGATCAGGAAGAACAAACATAACTGAGAGCCAGTAGAACTGATTATATACATATATTTCATTCTCTCCTGGTCGCTCTGTATTCTCTTATCAATTCTTAATTCCCATTTCATTCTTGCATCATTTCTTCACTTCCCTTATTTTCTTCCCTCCCTCCCTCCCTTCTTTCCTTCCCACCATTTCTGCCCCCCACCCTGGACCCCAGCCTACCCCTGCGAGCTGCACTGCCGGCCAGTGGATGACCAGTTCTCGGAGAAGATGCTGGACGCCGTGACGGACGGGACGCCGTGCTTTGTGCACAACAGCAGCCGGAGTGTGTGCATTAACGGCGTGTGTAAGGTAGTGCGCCGGGGGCAAAACTGGCAGAAACTTGCTTTGTCTATGGAGGTGTCCCGCTTTAAACAGGAAGGTCACCATAAGAAGCGGAATTAGGCACTTGGATGTCACATGCCAGCAAGAAATGTCAAAGTGATAGATAGGAGCAACAGCAATAAAGGGTTTCATCATCATCATCAGGAGGAAGCAGGGGGTGATACTGTAGATGGGCAGCGAGTCACCGTGGTGGCTGCACCGTATGTGTGTGTACAGAGGTAACCCAAATATGACCTGGCATGACCCCATTCTGTGAGAATATTGCCAGGGCTGTTTCGGGGGCCTTTAGCCTTCCCTGCAAATAAATGTACATTAATTAGTTTGAGTCGTGTGTTCTTATTCATTTTCATTACGATCTGACCCTCCTAGTAAAGGTTTAGCCCCTCCCCCCTTTTCATAAACCTTAGTGACTTATGGTTAGGAGATCACATGGTATATTAACATGCTTTAAACATGTGTGTGCGTGGGTTATGCGTATGTTACATTGTGGGACCCAAACGTGCCCACAATGTGATAAAAAAAAAAAACTGTTGTTTTGACTTTATGGGGATCATCTCGGTCCCCACAAGCGGAAACTCCATTTTATAAAAATCTGTGTCTGCAATCAAAAAACTTAAAATGCCTGAAAATGTTTGGTTACTTATGGTTAAGGTTAGGGCTGGGTAGCAGTTAAAGTTGTCATTGTTGGGATTAGGGTTTTTTCCCCATAGAGATGAATGGACGGTCCCCACAAAGAAATGAAACGTGTGTTTGTGTGTGTTCCTGGTGTGCCTGATCACCCCCCCCCCCCCCAGGAAGTGGGCTGTGACTATGGCATCAACTCAAACGCCGTGGAGGACCGCTGTGGGGTGTGCCTGGGGGATGGCTCTTCCTGCCAGACCGTTCGGAGGAGCTTTGACGAGGGGGAAGGTCATGGTGAGCCCCCCCCCCGGCATACTGTCCTCCCCATGCGACACCTTGGCAACGTACCTTCATGGTTCAGCATTATTGCTCCTTCTAATGTGACCCAGAACATCAGTGAAAGGGACACATGTCCGACTGGAATTCTTTAGGAAATTCTGTGCTGTCAGATCCATCCATCCAGCCATCCATACGTCTATCCACCTGTCCTGGTGAGGGTCACAGGAAGGCATGGAGGCCTCCCTGGACAAGGCAGAGCAACACCTTGGAGAGCATGTATTACATTATTAGTCAATAACTAGAGTGACCCACAAGCACGGTCCTCTGTCATGTGACGAGGCCTCTGTTGCCCCTGATTTGTTTGTCTGTGACACATGTGGCCTCCAGGTTACGTGGACGTGGGACTGATACCGGAGGGGGCGCGGGATATCGTGGTGCAAGAGGTGGAGGAAGCCGCTAATTTCCTGGCACTAAGGGGGCAGGACACAGAGGAGTACTACCTGAATGGGCGCTATATCATCCAATGGAAGGGCGAGTACGAAGCGGGGGGGGCCACCTTCTACTACGAGAGGAGTGGCAACCTGGAGAACCTGACTTCACCGGGGCCCACGCGGGAGCCAATCATGATCCAGGTACAGCGGCCTGTACCCTCAAACAGGTACTGCCCCCCCACAGGAGCAGCGGGTGACACCGCAACAGGGAGAAACAGATTATGGGGCACTGTCACCTCACGAAGAGCTCCTGGCCCGGAACGGAGGAGGCAGGGGTGGAACAGCATCCACACATGGGCCCATTGTGGCATGAGGACCACTGAAAATATAATGAGGGGATCCACCCAAAATGCCCCTTTTGATAATAAAAGACAATCATGCGAAATTCTCAAGTTTATCAAAAATCCTCCCTCCCCCAAACAGCAAATTTCATTGAAATGGAATCTGAATTCAGGGGGAGTTTCAAGTGAGATGGGGCCCGGATTCAGAGGGAGTTTCGGGTGAGATGGGGTCCGGATTCAGGGGGAGTTTCGGCTGAGATGGAGCACGGATACAGGGGGAGTTTTGGGTGAGATGGGGTCCGGATACAGGGGGAGTTTCGAGTGAGATGGAGCCGGGATTCAGGGGGAGTTTCGGGTGAGATGGAGCCGGGATTCAGGGGATGTTTCGGGTGAGATGGGGTCCGGATTCAGGGGGTGTTTCGGGTGAGATGGGGTCCGGATTCAGGGGGTGTTTCGGGTGAGATGGGGTCCGGATTCAGGGGGTGTTTCGGGTGAGATGGAGCCCGGATTCAGGGGGTGTTTCGGGTGAGATGGAGCCCGGATTCAGGGGGTGTTTCGGGTGAGATGGTATTATACTTTCTCTGGATTTATGTTTTGCTTTCACCATCCAGCTTCTTTTCCAAGAGAAGAACCCGGGAATCAAGTATGAATACACCATCAGAAAGAGCCGTCAGAGAGGCAACGAGATTCTGCAACCGGAGTACAGGTGGAAACATGGTGCCTGGACTGACTGCAGCGCCACCTGTGGGGCAGGTGAGTCAAAGCTTTATATCAGATTAAAGACAAAAATCAAATCAAAATTTGGTGTTGAGCCTGCAGCTCCACAACCCACCAGCTCCACTGTCTGATTTCTTCTTAACCTCTTAAATCTAATGTGTTTTTGACAGATTGCAGGCATGGCCAGCTGAACCCAGCACAGCCTGCAACACCCTGGTTATGACTGAAATTTAGATTCATCTGATGTATCATATTTGTAAAGTCAGATGTTCTGTGCGACTAAAATGACATAATTTAAAAAGATTTCAAATTTAAAAAAAAAGATGTTTTCTTAATTAAGACAAAAGAGGCCTTTTGAAAGAGTTAGTGGAATTCTGGCAAGCAGAAAGGACAAATTGTTGTGAGCCCATTTGAAATTATTTACTCAAAAAGAATGACCTCCAAATGCATATCCTGGGGGGGCGTGAGGGGGCTGGAGCCTGTGCCAGGCAGCATGGGGCACAAGGTCAGAACAGTACGCTGATCTCAGAAAGACCTACAGCTGTAAATGCTTTTAACTCAGAGTACCCCCAAAATTAGCCATAATTTTCCAATTCTCCAATTTTCCATGTTCTCCTCTGGCTTTACCTTTTGAATTTGCTATGTCCATTGTGCCTTTTAGCCATCTCAAAATAACATGGCCTGCTGAATACCACTTCCTATCCTGGAACACAGGGGTCCAAAACCAGCCAGTCCGCTGCTTCGAGGCTGAGGCTGGAGTGGTGGAGGAGTCTCTCTGTGACCCCATAACGCGACCCAAAGACCGGCAACGCAAGTGCAAGAAGATAGACTGCCCGGCTAGGTATGGCGCCCTCGTCTGTTTGGAGGTAGAATATTTATAGCTATTAATGCTTAGCTGACTCATTTCTAAAAAAGAAGGTTAACAGCTTAACGTTTGCCCTGATTTCTGATTTATTCGTGAAGCTTTGTTGATGTCATTTGGAGAATAACTCCGCCCCCTCCCTGACTGCTAATTCTCCCCTTCATGACTGCCCCCAGGTGGTGGGTGGGTGCCTGGCAGCCTTGCTCCGCCCCCTGTGGCCCGTCTGGCCTGAAGAAGCGCACGGTGCTGTGCGTGCGGTCCGTGGGCTCGGAGGAGCGCGTGCTGCACCCTGGGGACTGCAGAAACCTGCTCAAACCCAAACCTGCAGTGCCCTGCAACCGAGATGTGCAGTGCGGGTCCGAATGGGCCGTGGGACCCTGGAGTGAGGTGCTTAACACTACTCAGCTTTGTTTAACATTATCACTGCTCTCTATAGAATGTTATACTCAGTGATGTGTAACACTTAATATTACTTAACATTTAACACCATTTAACACTCAACTACCTGTCACTCAGCACTGTTTCACACGTAACGCTTAACACAGTTTAATGCTCTGTGTAACACAACTGGCGATATAAAACTCAACACTGCACACCACAGAGCATGCTGGGATTTTTCTGTTTACTCACAATGATGCCTTTTGATGCATCAAAACATTGAACAACTGAAGTAAAAATCGACAATGATGATATTGATTTTCTCTGTGATCTTCAGTGACTGAAAATTCCTGGCAGGCACAGACAGTAATCTTTATTTCACTTTTCCTGAGTTACTTTAGCGTTTTGTCATCTGTGCCGCATGTGCCCCTTGCCCCGCAGTGCTCCGCCTCCTGTGGGGGCGGGGTCAGGTCGCGCACCGTCACCTGCCGGACAGCGCCCAGGCGTCGCTGCCAGGCTTCCAGCAAGCCGCGCTCCCATGCCCTGTGCGGGCTGCAGAGCTGCCCCTCTGCCCGCAGAAAGCCCCCCCCAGCCAGCAGGAAGGCCACTACCCACACCTCCTCCACCCTGGAGACAGAAACTGTCACCACGGTGACCGCAGACCCCGGACCTCCAGCTAGCTCCACTGCAGCCTCCACTGCAGCGAGCCCCGAGGGCGACCGGCACCATGCTGCGGGCCGAAACGCCGGCGAGGGCGACGGGGGGGCTCCCACAGCCCCTTCTTTCACGTCGGACGATGAAGGAAGCACAGATGGCTTCTTGTTTCCTGGCAACCGGCATAAGTTAGACGACATCACAGAGGACTCTGCTGTGGCTGGGAGGCACGGCCTGTGGGCGTCGGCTACCACCGTCTCCGACCCCCCCACAATGCCCCCTCCCTCGACACCTGCAGAAGCCTCAGCGTCTTCCACATGGACACCCTCCTACAGCCCTTCCATGACGCTGGGTCCAACATGGGGACCAGTAACTACCCAGGCCTCTCTGCCCAGCTCAGGGCAATCTGGTGGGGCACCAGAGACCTTGCCTACCTCACCCCAGACGGCCCAGGATGCTGGGTTTGCCGGGACCTCAGAACCAAACAGCACAGCTAACCCTACAGGCAGCCACAGCAATGGACCTCCTGTTAACATGAACGTCTTCTGGGTGGTGGGCAACTGGAGTGAGGTAGGTGGAGATGGTCTGCGGATGGTCTGCGGATGGTCTGTTCACAGTGGGGTGAGTCACTGTGACCCATACGACCCAGTCTAGTGAGGTCTGTTCTTCATCACAATAGACTACACTGAATGGTGCACTGCTGTATGGGTTAGGACCCTGTGCCTGTGATCAGATGGTCGCTGGTTTAAATCCAGTGCCTGGCACAGTGACGTTAGTGCTCGGCCCTTCAGCAAAGCCCTCAGTCCTGGGGACACTGGCTGACCCAACTCTCTGATCCTCACTCGTATGCCGCTTTGGACGAAAGCTAGATAAATAAAAGTATAGGTGTAACTGCCTATGATCATAGCCTATGAATAATGAATTGGTGTGTCGAAAACGCCTTTGGTGTGTGAATATCTGAGCTCTGTGATGGACTGGCACCTCATCCACGGTGTCCCTGCCTGATGCCTTGTACTTCCTGTCATATGTTCCGGACCAAAGGTATAGATTTGGGTGTGGACAAAAGGGACGTGTCCCTAGCAAGACTGTGGGAGTACTGTGTGTGTTCAAGGGGGGGCGAGGCATTCAGGGCTGATCTGGTCCTTTCCAGTGTTGTAGGAGTACTGTGTGTGTTCAGGGGAGTTGGGCATTCGGGATAGATTTGGTTCTGCTTTGAAACCAGCTTTGGCAGCTTTGCCCCAGACTCACCATGACCCTCTACCGAATAATAAATTACGGAAGATAATAAAGGATAGAGGTCGTTAAATCGCTGTGAAATACCATGACGTTCTCCTTCTCTGTCTTTTCCACGTGGCCCTGGTGCAGTGCTCTACCTCCTGTGGCCTGGGGGCCATGTGGCGAACAGTTACATGCAGCTCCCCCCAGGAGGCGCTCTGCTCAGACATCAGGAGACCCGACCCTGCCAGGAGGTGCCATCTCCGTCCCTGTGCTACCTGGCACAGTGGCGACTGGGGCAAGGTGAGCAAGATGAGTCAAAAAGGACCAGCAGGTGGCGCACTAGCTAATGTACCATGAGACTGAAAAGGCAACAGATCTAGAGATATGGTCACCATCGTGATTTTGAGCGAGTTATTTGCATTAATTGCATTAATTATGTGCTATTAATTGAAAACAAACAAACAAAATATGCATCGACAACATCAAATAGTATGACAGGAAGGAAAGAAGATGCCAGGGATTGTGGTACAAGTGAAAGAGGAGGGTTGACAGCAGGTGAGATTTATTTGTGTCCTCTGTTGTCTAATGTAAGTATGGAACTCGTCCTGATTTGCAAAAAAGGCCCCGTTAAGACAGAGGTTGCAGCGGCCCTGTTTTCCAGCACCTGAAGGCTCAAGGTCATGTTTTTAGTCATTTAAAAACACATTTATAATCATAAAGCATTATGAACATGGCTATAAATATTTATAAAAAGGCATAACACATTATAGCCATGTGTATTATGCATTACGAATGCTTTATGCACCTCTCATATATAATGCACAATGTAGTACAAAGCATCCTTAATGCTTATACTGACTATTATAATGCATTATAGATGAGAGGTGAATAAAGCATTCATAATGCATATAAATATTTATAGCCACATTTATAATGCTTTATGAATGCATTATGATTTGCTAGGAATGTGTTTATAAATTACTAAAAACATGGTCTTAATTAAAATGTTACCACTCATGCTTCTGTTCTGTCACTTATTAGTTGACATTTTAAAGTGATATGCGCCCTGCCCTCTATCTCGCCCTGTCTTTCTTTCCTGTGGTTTTTCTGCATGTCTGCAGTGCCCAGAGGGATGCCTAGGGGGCAGCAGGCAGCGTGATGTGCTATGCATGGACACCCAGAGCCAGCGTGTGCTACGCCCCTACCACTGCCAGGCGGTGGGGCACCGCCCCCCCAGTTCCGAGCCCTGCCTCTCGCGGCCTTGCCAAGCCTGGCAGTTCTCCCCCTGGGGAAAGGTACGGTGGGTGCAAAATCCGCTTAATGCTAACATTTCACCACAAGCTATCTGCATCCCAGGAGCTCCCAGAAGACTTGAGAACATCACTGGAAAATGGTCCTTCATTTAGTTATGGTTATTTAATTGTGAACTGCACAGTGGTCTCATATCTCCAGGGATGTGTGGAGTGTATGTGTGTTGATACGCTAGTTTCCATCCACGGCCAAAGACATGAGGGTGGGTGAATGTCTCTGCATCTGTATCGCCTGTACTGTGTGTGTGTGCGTGTGTGTGTGTGTGTGTGTGTGTGTGTGTGTGAGAGCCCTGTGATGGACTGACATCCTGTCCAGGGTTGTCTCCCTCCTGTCCTGTGCTGCCTGCAATAGGCTCCATCCTGTAACCCCAAAGAGTGGTTAGAAGATAGACTAAGATGGATGGACTAGTTCAGTTCCAGCCAAGACCTGTTTTAATGTGTTTTTGTAAACACTTGGGTGTGTGGATCAGTGGGCTTGAACCTCTGTGCCTATGACCGGAAGGTTGTCGGTTTGATACCCGACTTCGCTAGAACGTTCACATGTCCGTGGGTCCTTGAGCGAGGCCCTCAACCCCCAGCCCCAAGGGCGCCATTGCAGGGGCTGCCCTTCACTGCTCTCACCTACATGTGTGTTATGGAAAGCTAAAAGAGAATTTCCCCACATGGATCAATTGTCTCCATCATCATCATTAAATGTTAATTACTCTAGCATCTATGTTGGTAAGGGAGCTATGCTAAAATAAGTTGTAGGATTTTTTTTTTTATTGAGTTGCATTATACAGTACGTCTGCTCCACCCCCCAGTGCTCGAAGGGGTGTGGTGAGGGCCAGCGGGAGCGCCTTGTGTACTGCCCAGAACCGGCCCGCTGTGAGCCGACCCAGAAGCCTAACAGCACCGAGCCGTGCAACCAGCACTTGTGTTTCCAGTGGCAGGCCATGGCCTGGGAGGAGGTGAGAGGGCCAGTCCAAGTACAAACTGCTCTTCCTTACTTTGTGCAGGTGGTAGGAGGGTCAAGGGGCAGCAAGGGGCGACCATGTGACTGGTTCAGCCTGGTCAGGTGATTGTGAATGATGTCACTGTCTGCCCAGACTGAACCTGAATATAGCAGAATTCTGGATGAGGTTCAAACTATACTGCAAAGACCAGCAAAGATGACAAACTACAGATATTTACATTAACTAATGAGTTATGTTAGGTTGAATGCCAGTTATCGGTAGTTCCAGGTGTAGATGAGATCTGGCAGTCAGCCCTTTGACTTGTGAGTTTTCAGAGCAACACCAGGCAACTAGCAGAGTTAAAAAGGCCATTGAGTTGCAGGTTCATGAGTCAAAACACCGCAAAATGATGTAATGTGTGGAAAACCATGCCAGCAAGAAGGACTGGTGATGTTTTGCAGGCTGAGGGTGACCCTACTCCATATTCACTGCGTCATATTAATATCGTTAAGTATTTTCATTGTTTTGTGCACCCACTGTATCTGTTACCATTTTTTTCTTGCTGATTCTATATTCCTTTTTAATGATTCCCAGACGTGTTCGGTATGCATATGCTGATGCTGTCTGTGGAGTAATTGGACTGACAGACTGCAGGCACTGTGTCTGTCACTGTGTTTGAATACCGGCTGGGTCCTGGGTGTTGTTGACGTGTGACTCCTTTTTTTAATGCTCATTTCACTGACTGCTGGCGCTCTGTGTCCTTGCTGTTTGATTTGTCGCACTCCCTACATTGGTGATGCCTGTTTGAACCAGTCGCTAACACAGTCTGGGCTGTCTTGGTTCTGCCTGTCTCAGTGCTCCGTGAGCTGTGGGGGTGGAGTGCAGCACCGCGCGGTGACGTGTGTGAATGAGGAGTCGGGCGGCGTGGAGGGCGGCCAGTGTGAACGGAGCAGCCGGCCAGACGACTTCCAGAAGTGCAACCTGCAGAAATGCGAGAGTGGCCCTGGTAAGCCCCTGCTCAGTGGTATCAGCTAATTCTTTGTCTTTAGCTGTTTAGCTTATGCTTTTATGAGAAAAGAACTCACTGATTTATCCCAGTTAGTTTAAGTATTTACATGTGTTTATTTAGACGATGATGTTAGTCTAAAACAACAAACAAGTGAGGAAAATATAACGTTACAAACATACAGCTGCCACGTAGTCAACTAAGCATAAACACAGCTACGCTGAGCTTCCAGTTAATGCCCAATTATAAGTCTATAATTCACAGCACCTTTGAAACACAGCAAGAACCAAATAAGGCAACAATTCAATTTAGCGGATAAAGTGCAACACCAGGAGCAGTCAGGAAACACGGAGTGGTGTTAACTAGGTAAATATTGAATATTGAAGGATTTTACAGAACGACAGTTTCTGAGAGTTCGAGGTATTGGAACATCAATTACCTTCTGTACTAAAATGTAACTTTTCAGTTGAAATGAATGTCGTCGAATCCGAATATCCAAGCTGGAGGCCTGCTGATACGCTAATACGTTGCCTCTTCTCCTCCGCAGTGCCCAGGTGTACGAAGGACAGCATGTCCACACGATTCTGTGAAAGACTGAAACTCCTGGGTCGATGTGCCCTCAGCTCCATCTGGAAACGGTGCTGCATCACTTGTGCGGGTTAACTGTGATCACCCCTCCCCCCGCAGCCCCACTAGCATATAACCACTGTCATACTGGGAACCACCAAGGCGCTGAACCTCAGCAAACAACAGACAGAACAGAGAAACACACAATAATCGACAAACACGAGGAGCACATACGCTGCTAAAACATATAACACACCCAAAACAGAAACACACAAAAAAAAAAGAAAACACACAAAAACATGATTAGCGTGTCTCTTCAGTCTGTGGTAGGTGGTGCTGAAAGGGTACAGATTTTTATTATTCTGCCAGTTGTGAGATATGGCCCCTCTGAGACACAAAGACATTGCTGACACAATGAACCGAACACCTCGCTGCCTTGTGGTCTGGTCCCACCAACGCTCTGTGGTTATTCCACCGCAGGAAGAGAAGTGGCCACCCGCCCAACTACGCTGAACATCTCCGTGGTGCTTAATACGAGTCTTACACTGTTCTGTTCAGTGACTTTCATTTTGTGCCTCATAGATGGCAAAGGATGATCAGAATATTTTTAAATGGATTTCCTTGATGAGGTGGAAGACAATAATGCATGCATGGTTACTCTGTCACTGAAACGGCCATGGTGCTGGATTAGAGCTAGTAAATTTGCTCCTTATTTTTACACTGAGACGCACTGAGTGATATGTTGCAACAGCCTAACACTTGCTGGTCGACTACGGAAATACAGTAGTGTTTCGCAGCAAAATACAGTTTGGTTCAGCTTTGTGTTAGCACAGTGTTCAGCCTCAGTGTTAGTTCAGGATAGGATATTAATCAATAATAATACAAACATGTTCAGCTGTATTACAAAGTATTTTTTTAAGGATATTATAACAATTTATTTTCAACAGGATATTCAGACTGTTGCATTTGTATGGTAAATAGATTAAATGTATGGTAAAAACAGGGCAGAAGAAATGAATTCCCTGCTGACTTAAGAAGCAGGGCAGTGATTGTGAGAACAGGGTGCTATGGGATACTGTGTATTTAGCCAGATACTTCCAGAAGCTACAGGTGTCCTCCACAATCAGCACATGGATGTGTCTGTAAATTATCCTGTGCTTACTGTCACTCCACTTAGGCCTCTTCTGGTGCCTCTGACTGCCTGTTCTTATTATGTTTGGCTAACACTTTTTTATATGTTTTATCCCATAGATAACTGAAGCACTCTAGATTCGCGACAGAGTACAGCGAAACCAAATAGAAGCAAAACCGGGGTTTTAAGTTCATGCTCATAATTTCCCCGCTACCCATTCCTTCGTACGTCAATCGGGATTTCAAAATCCACCAGAATTTAATCATCCTAGGACTCACTGTTAGAAAAGGGTTCCTCTTTGTCAGGCATGTTTTATTTGGTGTAGGGAATATGTTCAGAATATGTATGGGTCTGCATGGATAATGTTTACAAGGGGACTCACTGAAGTATGCAATGTGAACTTCTAAATGGCAATTGCTTTGCTGTATTGTCACACATTTGTAAATGTGACCTCACAACTTTTTTTGATTAGTGAAACCAGTCAAGGTGCCAACAAGAACAAATGAAAATTACAAAGGAAACAATGCTACTTTAAATATGGTCCCTAATTCATAATTTTATTTTCTGTGGTCCCATGGCTGAGTGATCTTTGGGCAGTGGTCACTTGGTAACATCTCACTCTTTCATTATTAAATCTGAATTCAAGTCATTTGACAAGCTGTTCACAGTCAATAGAAAACTCATGTACCCAAGGGCATAACTTCAGGTTGGGCATTGGGGTGTGGTCTTCACCCATTTAAGGGGATCCAGGTGGGTTGTAGTTGCTGGTTTTGATTATTGAGGGGGTTACAACTCCCCATCCCCCATATTTTACATCCATGCATGTACCAACCTTGTGGCCCTTGAGAACTGGAGTATAAATTGTGCAAATATATTGTACATCCGATTGGGGTGACCCCAAAATGTTTTGTTGGTTTTGATTTGTTCTGAAATCAATGTGGCTGTTAAAACTGCGGTGCTAGCATTTCAGCTAACATCTGAATGTGCATGAGGTGTTGCTGGTCATCACTCTCAGGCCTTGATAATAGGTCTAAGTATTTGATAATGTACGTGACTGACAGACTGCCTGTACCTCGAATATCTGCATTAATAAATGCCGTTATTGACTGTGTGCCTCTCGCTTCACTTTAGACTGATCTTTTCAAATCGCCGGGAAAATAACATCCAGCCTTTATTATAAGCATCGATAACTCTAAAACTAAATAAATTTACAGATTAAGAAAGTACATAATCGCCGAAAATTATTATTACTTAAGTTACGAGTTATTTATTTAGTAGTTTTGAGTTACGTTAAAATCTTCCCATTGGGGAAAGTTCGCAACCTTACTATCCAATAGAATCTCGCGATATTATGACGTCACGTTAGCGGGAGGTCCAAAAAGGAATTAGAAAAACTGAGCGTTTACTGGTAGTTGACTGTTACTTATTGTTAGTTTACAGTAAGTGACAGCAAAAATATTTTATATTTACAGGATCGAATTGCATGCAGGAGTTACATTCGGTACAAAGTTTGCTATACTCTTGATTTGCGAGCAAATACTTTGTCAGTCTGGGATGTGTAGCGGTAAACGTAGCAGTCAGCGGCTAACTAGTTAAGGAAAACCCAGGTAACCCTAGTGTGCCTCGCGGCAGGTTACCCTGGCTAACCAGACACCGGGCTGGTCATTACCAGGAGATTTCAGGGTTTGCTCCCGCGGCGCGTTGGGGTATAAACCCGCCCGGCCAGCCATGGCCGCAGTCTCCTTCATGGTCCTTTTGGAGGACGACGCCTTGGAGGTGGGCTACAGCAATGGCTCCCGTTTACAGCTGTCCCCGTGCGGCTCCGAGTTCGTGCTGGAGGAAAGGCCGCCGGCCTCGGCGCACCCATTGCAGACGCCTCGCAGGCTCCGCCGGAGGACGCGCTTTGTTACCAGCGCTCACAAAGTACGTTTATCCCGCAACGTGTCAGCGCTGTAAGGACCGGTGAAGTAGGGGGTGTCATTTAGGGGTGTTAGTACGTGTGTCGGTAATGCAGCTAATTTAACTCTGGAAAAAATTGAAACAACCCCATTTATCAAAAATAATTGCATTGTTAAATCCTGGTTTTGCTGGCAGAACAAGGTGAAACAGAAGACAAAAAAAAACAACCAGGTAAAGGGCGGAAGCGACTGTTTAATGCCAGAGATGACGTCAACTTATCTGACTGTTTCTCATGAATCGTAGGATGACATCAAGTGACTTTCAAAAGGAATGGGAAACATTAAGATCTAGGTGTGAAGTGCATCATCATTGAGAAACAGAGAAACACCTGGCTGCAGTTTGCAAAACAAAAAAACATTCGCAGACGCACTCCCATAACTTGAGAAATGAGTGAAACAAAAAAAATATTTTTTCCAGGGCTGCCTCTTCCACTTTAACCTAAATCTTATATTGAATTTCTATGACAAATGTGAAATAATGCCTACAGAAGAGCAGATGAAAGTATGTTAAACTTGTTTTCAGGAATTGTTGGTTCAAGCTCTGGATTTCAGGAACAGGTTTGCCACGCGTCCGTACCTACCAGAGGAGCTTCTTCCCATGGAGCGAAGAAAGGTAGCTGCCTTTCTGAGTTTCTCAGGGTACCGTACTATCATACTTGAAGCTCACATTTTTTCAAATTTTTCGAATTTGAAATGCTGCACTTTTAGACACAAGTCTAAGAAGCTTGGTTACAGAGCCACCTACTGTTGTTTACGTGTAGGATGAGCGCTATTGCAGTGGTGTTTAGTACATTCAGACCACGTATTCCCTTCTACTGTAGTATTTGCACTTCTTTCCATTTTTATGCTTATTGCAGAATTGTCATAATAACCCACAAGATTATTTGGCTAAGATACCACCCTCTAGTATATGTTTATTGAGATCATTATTATCTCATTGAAAAACCACTTTCTGTATTCCAAAGGTCTCCTTCACCGACATCTCAGAAGTAGAATGGCCATCATTTTCAGAATACTCTTCCTGTGACAGAAGTCTCGGCCCCAGCCGGGAATTTGTAATCTCCTCACTGGATGGGAATGCGCGGCTGCAGCTGTCGCCTTGGGGGGAGGAGTTTTCTGTGGTGTTCCTCTGCAGGGTTAGTCAGGACGAGCCTCGGAAGGCCAGTGGTGACTGTCCAGGTAGCCGTCCAGCCAGCCAGTGTGGCAAGAACAAGGGGAAGTGTTGGGAAAGCCTGTCAGACCTCCGTAAGAGAGCACCCAGAGTGAGCGGGGAGCGGGGTGAAGCCCTGCCTGGGTCTCGGGGCCGTCCCAGCAGCCCCTCCACAGAGCCCCCCACTGCTCACCCAGGAAGGACGTATCTCTGCACCTGGGTGACACAGCAGCACTCCTGCTCCTTCCCGCCGCTGCTGTGGCACCACCCGCTGTCCGTTGCCATCCAGCTCCGGACTGCCACAATGGGGGAGGGGCTCTTACGTGGCGAAACGACGTCAGGAATGGAGAAGGGCAGCCTTCCCCAGGCCCTGCCTCTGCGATGCTTCTCTCCACACCAGCACAGGTCTGCAGGTTTTCTAGCTCACTGCTGATGCAAATTAAGTGGGAAATTCTGCAGTAGCAATAGAAGTAGCAGATTCTGAGAGCATGTATCTGTGTCTGTATGCTGTAATAGCTATTGCATCATATTCGCTGGTGGTAGCATAAAATCTCTACCTGGCGCTCAAGTCCCACATGTCCCTGGCAAGGTGGTGGTGCAGGGACTCTACAGGAGCACAGGGGGCGCTAGAGTATGGTACACATGACAAGCTGCTGAAGGTTATGTGGATCCAAGGTGTGCTCTATCGGTGAGTGGTATGGCTGTGGGCGTCGCATGGAATAGTGTCTATTACTTGTGCAGTCGCTGATATTACATCCTGTGGCCCTCTGCAGGGTCACTAACTCAGCAGTGACCATGATAGAGGTCTTTCCTGGTGACGGTTCAGTCATCCGCTCCAGCTCCACCCTGCCGGAATACTTCACCCATCACACCGTTGGACGCGAAGGCCAGGTCTGTCCCAGGGGGCCACTAAATTGATTCCAGTAGTCAGTATTTGAGATTTAATGCGTCAATCAGTTGGTTACAGCTCAATCCTGTAAATGCTGACAGATTTACTGAACGTTGCATACAAATATAGTGAAATTTATTGTACTTTTTAAGAACGGCTTTATGAGAAGAATCCCTGAGATGTTCGCAGAAGATTTACTCTGCATGGTATCATTTTTAAAACATATTTTAAAATGTATGGGGAAAAACAACTTCTAAGTAAAGAGAAATCCCCAGTTAATTTTAAGGTCTTTTGTCACCAATGTGTATTTTTTAACTGCCACACAACTGCTCTGCCCTGTGGATTGTAGTAAATTCTGTTGAGGAAGCAGCAGGGAATTGGCCTGTGGTCTGGTGAATCTCAGAGGGTCAGTCCGTGTTCATTCCTTCAGGGCGCAGAGAAGACGTACCTCCTGAGCAGCCTCCCGCCTGACGTTGCGGGGCAGCTGTACTCGATGAGGTCGCTGGTGGCTCGTGCAGGAAGGTGAGCTGCTTGGTGACTTTAAATCATAAAGAGAAGCTCGTCACCCCAGGGCCTGAATATGGTTTATTTCCCTTGCTTAGCGTGTATCTGACACTGGCTGAATGTTGTGGCACGTGACTCTGATAATTAGCAGTCTGTGGCAGTGTCCGGACAGTTGCCAGTTCGAATCCTGTTGACCAGAAGACAGCTGACCCTGTGCTCTTACCCCAAACTCCATTCTCACTTGCGTGTATGTGTCTATTCTATTAAGTTGGTGGGTCTGCCATCTTTTCCTTTGCACACAAGTCTCTGGATGAACAACAAAAATGTATATCTATTATAAAGAAAATAAATGGCCACTTGACCTGCTGAGCGTATGTTCTGTTGGTGAAACACGGGCTTTGTGCAGGATTATGAAGTGTTACAACGAGACCAAGTTCTCCCTGAATCTTCCCCCGTCCCACTGCTGCTGGCAGGAGGTAAGAACCAAGTCTGTCCATCTTTTAACCTTTTATGCATCTGATTACTTCTCTAAATCTAATTTGAGGTTTAGTGCCTTGGTTAAGGGACATACCAGAAGGACCCTTTTTGGGACTAGAACCACTAGTAGAAACTATATCTCTCATTTACTAGTTTTATTATAGCCATAGATTTTTGTCAGCAGAAAGCAAAAGTCAAGTACCTGATTTTCATAGTTTTAGGGTTTTGCTATGATGTGAGGGCCAGGGTGCCACTCTGAGATCTATCCACTGCATAAACACTGACTAAATGTACATATGCTCATCTACTTTGACACTTTCTCTTCGGACTCTCTGATAATTGTTACGCATGCATGTAGCTGTAAGAACTAGAACAGATTCAGTTCTTGTCCATCTGCAGGAGAGCAGCCGTTCAGAAGCCTCTGTAGTGACCCTGGACCCTCATGCTCTCAGTCTTGGATGTCCAGGCCGTCAGGGACTGTTTCAGTCCCATCTGTCAGAGCAGAGCTGGTAAGAGGGCAGTTTTGCGTAACACCCTTCCGTGTCATTGTTCCTCATCCCATGTTGGGATAATGTCCTCATGCTGTACAGTCTGCAGGTTCTGTTGTTAAAATCCCCCAAAATCCACACCCATTCCCTGTGATATGGTTGTAGATATGTTGTTTTATGTTGTATAAGTATTATTAAAATGTTTGCCTTTTCTGTTGCAGGTCTGCAGAGGCAGAACTGGCGAAGATCAGAAGGTTTAATTGTATCCCTTCAGTTGTATTTCTAATGGGGGGGGCGGATGGGGCGGGGGTTGGAATCTCCTGTGTGGATACAGCAGATGAAGCAGCATTCCTCTTTAACCCAGAACCTTCAGACTTGCTGGATCACAGCGGGATTCTGAGGTCCGCTGGTGTCTCCTCCGGGTCTGGAGGGCCGGGCAACAGTCAGCCGGAGTTCCTCGGCATCCCTGCCACGACCCACGAGGAGATGAGTAGGGAGAGCATCACAGCGTCGCTGCGGCGCACCTCAGACATCATCCGCGACATTGAGGCTTTTCTGTCAGATGGTGTGACGTGTGACGGAGCAGTGTGAAGGGGGCCGCCCTCCCGCAACCCTGCCAGCCGGCAGCACCCCCGTGCATTGCCAGTTTATTTGTTTATTTATTTCCCACCCATGTGACTCACCACCAGATGAAAATAAGGAAGGAAACCTATGACTTTCATAGGTATTTCATTACTTAATACCAGTCAGCAACACCTTCAGAAATATTCACATGGGAAGATTTCTGTTCTTTTTCTCAGTTTGCTGCCTATCTTGACAATTTCCTGGTTCAAATGTATATACCAGCACACTTATGGGCTATATTGTACAGCATCCTGTGTGAAAGTCTATTATAAGTAGTTTCGCTGCTAGCGTGAACTTCCCCATCAGAAGCGAACGAGCGAAAAGGCTATAGAATAAAATCTTCTCAAAAGAGTAAGTGTGTCATTTCTTTTTATCTCTGATAAAATACCAATAGCAGTGTGATCTGTGTTAAAATGTCCATACTGTGTTTTCTACTGTTAGAACTTGTTTTAAGCAACTGTTTTTCATAAGTATTTTATCTGTTTTTTTTTTTGTCCGGACAACGTTTATTCTTTATGCATTGAAATGGAAAACATTTCTCTTAAAAATGCTTCACATTCTTGAATTGCTATGACTGCAAATGTGTTTCCAAGACCCTTTTAAATGACTCAAAAAGGAACATACCTTCCATTCACAGGTTTTTAAAAAACCAAAGGTAAATTAAGGTTTATATACATTTGCAAAACTTTCCTATATTTATTTCTGACATGAATTGACTGGTGTGAGAATCCTGGTGGGGATGCATTGATCTAAAATGCCCTGAAATGTTTATCAGCATTGTACGGTTTAAACTCCCTTTTTAAAACAGTTTACTTCTCATGTGCTTAGTGCTTGACAAGTTCCGTTTACCAGCTCTCATTGTACCATTGTGATAATGTGACGCTTCTGACTCCCAGCTCCTCGTTATTCTCACGGCTCCAATAGTTCCCTGCAGGTGCTGTTCCTCTCTGGGTGGCGGCTTTACAGACCGCGGTCACACGAGCCTCTACCTCCCGCAGAAGAGCTCGGCGGATCTGAGGCGGCCATGGCGCACGTCAGCTCGGTTCAGGCCCGCCGAGCGGCACTGGAGGGCGCCCTGAGTGGGAAGTCTGGAAATACTCCAGAGCCCCCCATGCCTGCCTTTAAAGCTAAGCTTTCGGAGTCCCAAAGCAGCGGTGACCCCCCCAGGGCACCGCCATCGTTCACCAAGCCGCCCATGCCTAAATACTCCCTGGGTGGGGACAAACCGACCCCCACGGTGTCGTCTGTTCTTCCGAAGCCCTACCAGGCCCCGGAATGGCCAAAAAAACAGAACAGCCTTACTGGATCCCCCAAACCCATCCGAGGGCCCGGCGTCAGCACTTTCGCAGCACCGGAGCCTGAGAAACAGGCAGAAACGCCCCTGAGGACGAAGAGCAACATAGATGGCGGCAACAAGTTCAGCAACATATCACCCACGATCCCCACGCCGCCAGTGTCAGTCTCTAAGCCATCGCTGAACCCACCTACCACAAAACCCAGCCTACATCCCAACTCCCAGGCCCAGGAGGGTGATCCCTCCACCCCCAGGAAAAAAACCCTGCCAAATATTTTCAGTCTGGGGAATGCACCCCCGAAGCCAAACAGGCCCCCCAAGGTCAACCTGGAGATGTTTACCGGGGACAGAGGGTGCGTGAAAGATGGTAAGTCATCCTCTGCTGTGGCCACATGCTAATGCATGCGTGGTGGTGTCCTTTTGGCACTTATCCTACTCATTTTTCAGTTCAGTAATGAATTCTGTGGCGCCAAGAATTTAGTAATATGTATACATTTGCCATGTCCGACATCACCACACACCTCACATTAATGTTTTAGGCCTGATACTAATCTGCTTATTAAATTGTGGGCATCAGTAAACCTCCACATGGTACTGAAGTGCTGGCATCTGGTCAAATGTTTATGCCTGTCATCTAAAGCCCTGGTGATTATTGCACATGTGATATTGTGCAGACATTCTATTTTGTTGCTCAGTATAAATGCATTTTGGATGAACAGTAAGACCAACCTGCATTTTCTATAAGGAAAAAATAAAGTTATGTGACATTTTGTTATGGTTGAGGGTTTGAATCTCTCGTTTGCATCTTCGCCCAGTGTCACATGGCTTTCTTCCTGCAGTCCAAAGACATGGAGTTAGGGTGACTTGTGTCTCTAAATTGCTTATAGTGTGTGTGTTTTGTATATGTTACATTGTGGGGATTAAAAACCTGTTATTTTGATGTTGTGGGGACAAATTTGTTTGGAAAGGGAAACCCAAATCCCAAAAGTCCTTGTATTTTGTTTGGTTACTTACAGATAAGGTTATGGCTGGGTAGGGGTTAACGTTGTAATTTCGGTGATTAGGGTTTTTCCCGTAGAAGTGTGTGTGTGTGTGTGTGTGTGTGTGTGAGAGAGACACATAGCTCTGTAGTAAAGGCCGGGCCCGGGTTTGTGCTTTGCAAAGGATGGGAATCCCATCCAGGGTGTCCCCCAGCCTTGTTCCTTTGACAGAGTTAGAGATAATGGAGAACTTTAATTATAGAGCGGACTGACCTCTAAAAGCTACAACAGAATAATTGGCCTGGCCCACAGCAGCAGAAGAATGTGCTTCCCCTTCAGATTGGCTACTTCCTTTTCTGGTTTCTTGTTTCAAATCGATGTGTGAGCATGTGGACAGAGTTTGACTAAAATACCCAGCATGCTTCTGAGCCAGTGACTATGGGAGACGCTGGAACTGTGGGATGGAAGCAGAAATGCAGTCAAGGTGAAATTGTTTGCTGCTGCTTTGTTTTCTGAAATAGACCCCAAACAGAAGATGGGGGGAGCTTCCTGCAGCCAGCCAGTGGCGCCCCCTCCTGCCCCGAGCCTTTTCCTGCGAGCCCCAGTGGCTAAGTAAGTACTGGAGGTCATTTACCAGACCCGGGCCCGGCCTTTACTACAGAGCTATGTGTTGTTCCTCACACACACACACACACACACACACACACACACACACACACACACACACACACAAAGATCACAGCCTCCCCCCCCCACCCATTGACTCTTCTGGCTAAGCTTATTACAGGAAGTCACACAGTCAAATGTACAGTAAATAAGTACTTTGTGGGGGGGAAAAAATGACCATCTGTGCAGAACTGCAGAAACATCATGCAGACTGTCAGAGAACATAGAGCGTCGGGACAGAGCGGCTCCTCTGTAGTCCAGAATAAAAAGAATTACAAAAGAGTGCTGAGGAGCAGAAGAATACCAGATCTACATCACAGTTACGCATTTTTATGGCTGCTGGTACAGGAGGTTAACACTAAACAAGTGGACAACAATGCAGGCATGTGTGTCGTGATGGATGTTGAATCGCACCTGAGGTGTGACGAAACCATGGTGGATTGAAAAGAATCCCATCCTTAGCTGGCATTTGTGTTTGGCTGCGGGGTTGCTGCCCTGACCCCCTGCTTCTGCTTCCTCTCTGTCTTTGGCACCCAGAGCTCAGCCTGAACTGGAGGAGGAGGAGGAGGAGAGCTACGATGACGTCGGACTCTCAGGCGCCCCGCCGCCGCCCCCGGGAGGTGAATCTTTTCAGCGCGGGAAGTGTTTTGTGTTTCATGGGAGTCCGACTGAAATGAGGTGGCATGACTACATTTAGAAGATAAGAGTCTGTGTGGATTAAAAGGCTAAAAATTGTGGTGCCGGATGTGAGGCAGTAGCTGATGTGATGCTTCTGCCACGTGGAAGATGCCTTTATCAACAACACAAGTTTGACCTTTTTGTTTATAAGTTCGGCTCCGTAATCGCCATAGCACCTGGTCTCCAGGACTGTAATGCACATTAATCTACATTGGTACATTTGTATTAAGATACTGAAGGAGCACTCAGCTCGCTTCTCTTCCTGATCATGTGACTGTTATTCTCTGCCAGCTGAGTAACCCACTTTATTAGAGAGCTGTCAAACCTGAGCCCTTTGCCCTTTGGCTGTTCTTTTGCTGTGGGTTAATGCTTCATGGTTAATTGGAGCTGTGTTCAGTTTTCTTTTTCTACATGTTGGAGGGCAGCTCTCACCCTTTCTCATGTCATTCTCTTACAGGGCATCCCAGTAACAAGCCAGAGGTACCAGTAACAATCTGGAGATGTGCACCAGAACAGCCATGTTGAGAGGCTTTAGAATTGAAATTGTAACACACACAACCCTTATTTAAAATGCAAATGTTTGTATGTTCAGTTTTGCATCATGTATTAATATCCCAACAAATTGCAGCGATCCATAGGAGGCGCCAGCCTGGTGTTTCTGTGACTGACCTTCCTGATAGCCCCCGGTCAATTCCATCAGGCCATGGGACAAATGCTGCTGGAGGTGGCACCCCAAGGCAGGGGGAGCAAATATTAGCAGTCAGGTTCCCATTTAAGGCTGATTTAAACTTTTGTTTCAAGCCTATATCTGTGTTGCTCAGCAATTCCACTGCCAAAACATTAGGAAATGCATAGTTTTGGATGTCACATTTATTGTCTTCCCATCCTGCGACATATTCAATCTTTGAATCATGCAGTGAAACAGAAAAAAAAGCAAGCATTTAACAAAGTATCAATTTGCCGCATCCTGGTTATATTTGTGCTGCTTCAGATTTCCCGTAGACATATTTGGAAAAATGTTGAGTGTCTATACTACTTTTTACTTTTTTAGTCTTGTAATGCACGACTCAGCTTAATGGAAGTAAGTGAAATCGGTGCTGTTATCCTGAGAGTTTTGTAGACCTGTTGATGCAATGCTTAGGGTGGGTTATTTAATGCTAGATATAAATAGCTCTTCAGTTTCAGTCAGCGATGTTAAGTACACCAGGGGTGTACGCTTTCATTACCCCCATTCGGGGAAAAAAAAAAAGAATGCTGTGAAGCAGACCAATCACAATTGTAGTGGTCTGCGTCGCCGCTCTGGGGAGGTTCATGTCAGGCTATGGCGTAGGCTAAGGCGTAGGCTAAGGCGTAGGCTAAGGCGTAGGCTAAGGCGTAGGCTAAGGCGTAGGCTAATGCGTAGGCTAATGCGTAGGCTCTACGGCTACGCCGCACTTAGAGCGTTGTTTAACTCAACCTTAAGATGCAGCCTCCGTCAGGCTTTTGACTGCTACTGGGCTCAGCCCCCTCCCCGAATTATGCTGAGACGCAGCCCCTTGAGAGCAAAGTGGCTGATGGGACTTTCTCCTCAAGACACTACGATGGCACCCAGCCTGACGTTCCAAGCATGTGTGTGAACTAACAGTCACTTGCACACACCCACCAAAGTTAAACGCGTTCCCCATTCTGCTTCTAACAGGATGAGGGTGACGGAGAGATGTACGAAGATATCGAAGAATTAAGGTGAGAGCTTTATTTTGACTCCCCACAGAGTCCGCGTTCACAGAATGTAAGTTATTTTCATGTTGCGACTATTTGTATCTATAGATGCACTGTGGGCTTCCCAGTCAGCACTCGCTGAGCTCAACTAACAACATAGTGAATGGCACAGTGGTGGCAAAGCTGATCCCATATTCATAATATTTAGCGATCATAACTGAAAGATGGAACACTTAACTCGTGATTCAAGTTACACACTACAAACAAATCCCCTCACTTGTATACAGTTGTACGCCACTCACTAGGATTAAATCACCCTGACATCTAAAAAGTGAGAATATTATTGGAAAGACGGGATTTAACAATATGGGATGGCAAGTTCGGAGGAAAGCAAGGAAACGCGTACAGCTCTGTAGCTGGAAGTTCCTGTTATGGTTGGTGGATCTGGGACCCTATCTGAGTTTGTGGTTCAGGCAGCCAGGATCCGTGTTTTCACCATCTGAATGGCATCAGACTGTCTCCAAGTACCCACCCGCATTTCTATGCTAGCGGTCGCATCGCTCCTATCACCATAAAATAAAGACGAGCTCCTATATTTCTATGGCCATATTAAATGCTGCAGGATGCCAAAGGACTCCAAGGAAACGAGAGAGCAGGAAAAGAAGCATGAAAAGGATAAAAAGAAAAGAATAGAGCAGGAACGAAAAGAGCAGAAGGAACGAGAGAAGAAAGAGCAGGAAGTCAGGAAGAAGTTCAAGGTACATTTTTCACTCTTAATGGCTTGTGAGAAGGTACTCAAGCCCCTCTGAGGCTCTTTTGTAGACATGCTGTCATCTCCATGGTTATTTCAGCTGCCAGTTTCACATGAGTTAATGAACCTCTGTCCTATGCCAACATGTTTCCTGCACATAGATAACAGGACCGATCCAGGTTATCCACACGGCGAGAGCCCGCAAGGATTGTAAAGGGGGCAAGAACGACCTTTCTTTGAAAGAAGGACAGACCGTCGAGATCGTGCGCATCGCTGACAATCCAGATGGCCGCTGGCTGGCACGGACGCACGAGGGCTCTTGTGAGTGAACGAGTATTTGTGAACCGAGTCACCTGCCAAGACCTGTTTTATGGAGATGGACACATTTGTTTACAATAAGACCTTTTGTTTGAAAATTCCCCTTCTGAAATCCCATCTTTTCAGTTCCCTGTTTTTCGCCTCTGAAACTAGTCCCATGTTTATTGCAGACGGTTACGTCAAGACCACAGCGGTGGAGGGAGAAGGCGCATCCCCGGCACAAACAGGGTGGGTCCTGTACCTCATAACGGCACTTCTTTGTTCCTCATACTGATTCCATTTACATATACGCCATTATAGAGAAATGAAATTTAAATAGTCCATTTAGTAACTATTGTTAACTGCTCATACAATACCAGTCAAAAGTATCCATAGAAAGGTTTATTTGTGCCGTTCTCTACACTTTAAAATAATTATAAAGACATCAAAACTATAAAGTAACATATGGTATTATTTGTTTGGGGTGGGGGGCAGCTCTACAGGTTAGGACTCAGATGATTGCCAGTTCAAATCCCAGGCCACCACTGGGCCCTTAATCCCAATTACTCCAGGTCATGTCAGGTTTATGTCAGGTGGCCAGGTCACGTGATGTGACACTGTCACTCTCCTTTCTAGGCACCTTGGTGTGTCCAGTCTTTTGACTGGTACTGTAAGATTGACTTCTGTTTGGCCCAGTTAGGTTGGAATATTGGAATGAAGGATTTGGAATGGGTTATTGGAATTGTAATTAGGGTTCGGGATGAAAACTAGCACACACTGGGTCCTTGAGGGATTGTGTGTGAAGCCCTTCTTTACGTAGCCTGTCTTTGGCAGAGGTGACACAGATTCACTTGTGCTGGTTAGTTTGGGGGTGGCATGCAAGGTGTTGGGGGTGGGGGGCATGGATGCCCTGGCAGATTCAGGGCGCCCAGCAATCTAATGTTGGGGCCCAGGCAGCAAAATCAACTGAGGGGGCCCAAGGTGACACTTTGTCGGGGGAGGGGGCAGAATTTCTAGCTATGCCCCTGGAGGCACTTGGCTCATATTGCTAGGGTTAAGGGTTCGAATCCCACCTCGGCTGTGTGTGGCGTTTACATGATCTGCATCTGTCATGTCTGGGTGCTCCCGTGTCCTGCTGCATACCAAGACATACCGGTAGTGTTTGATCGTGTGTGTGTCTACTGTATGTGCCCTGTGATAGCCTGGCCCCCTCACTTGTGCCGTATACTGACCAAGGCTCCATAACCCTTTTCATGTTTGGTAATGGTTTAGCAATGGTGTGGGGGGCGGCTTTGACTAACAGGCAGACCAAAATTAAATTATGGTTATTTAAAGTGCAAACAGAATTGCTTATGTTTTTGTAATCTCATCTTGGCACAATTTGTTTGCCTCAATACTAAGCCCAGCCATGTTTTTTGCCTTTAGGAGGAATAACAGTGAAGGTAAGCTTTCCATAATATTTTGATAACTAACAGTTCAAAAACAGTAAGAAATGCAGCACTTTGTTTTTTGGATAAGCACTCGGATAAATGCAAAGTGGAATTTAAGATGCCGCCTTACGGTCAGTCAGACAGCTGGGCAGTCAAGAGGCAGAAGGTTTGAAAACTCTCTGTTTCAGACTTTCCTCCCCCTCTGGAAGAGGACGAGATCTACAATGACGTGGACGACGGGGACCTTAACTTGTGAGTGTTCTGGGGTGGCAGCTAGTTTGGGTAATGGGAGTAAATCGCAGTCTTTATAAGCCTGAACTCTGAGCCGGTAGTGCGAGGTGACAGACTTACCTACTGAGCCACTGTGCTGCTCGTTACTATTGCGAGCTGTAAGTATTATTAATAAGATCGATACTGCTGACATTTACATTGGCTTTTGTAGATGTACATTAGAACACTAATATTAATGTGATTCATGTTTATGAAAATACAACTGAGATTGATGTATAGAATAGGATGCATTTTTTGTACAGATAACAAATACAGCAAAAAAAATTATATTTGCATATGCCATCTTACGGATGGATGGATGGATGGATGATACTTATTACATAGCTAGTTCTGCTGTTATCCTGAGAGTTTTGTATACCTGTTGCTGTTGCTGTGATGCTTAGGGTGGATTATTTAATGCTAGATATAAATAATGCTTCAGTTTCAGTCAGCGATGTTAAGAGCACCAGGGATGTACGCTTTCATCTCTCCCATGTCGTGTTTTTCTTTTCTTTCAGACCCCCCCCATCTAATCTGGATGAAAGTAATGGTAGGACTATGTTCAATAAAAATAATTTCTTCAGATTGTTATTTTTCTGTATGTAATGTTAATAAGGAGGCTGTGATTTCTCACCTTGTCTGGATGGTTTCTGCTCTTCAGAGGGGCTGGGGGCAGCCAGTGGGGATGAGGTGTACGATGATGTTGACAGCTCCGCCTTCCCCCCTCCCCCTCCCATGAACAGGTAGCCCAAGCTTACATGCTGTGTCATTCCCAATGGCCACGTAACCAGCCGTATTTCCCTTAAAGTTTACAGCAAATTCTAAGCAAATATTCTAATCTATTTAAAATAATCATTCTAACTTCAATCTACAAATTAGAAAATTCTGTTCCCATTGCAGTTGCAAATTTCGTTCTCAGCTTTTTAGAAAAAAAAAACCCCCAAGCATTTTTTAACGATATTTGAGGTTTTTTCTCTCTCTCAAGTTGAGTGCGTCCATTAATGGATCTTCAGCCTGTGTCTTATGAATGTGCAGAAGCTAAATCAGTGGAAACACCATTGCTGATGTGTGATTGACCTACATTGCATCCATCTAAGGTTTTTTATCACCCTCAGTCTACCACAGTTGAAGCCCAAGGGTAAACTGGAAGAGAAGGACCCCAAAAAGCAGAAGAAATTTGAGAAAGAGGAGAAGGATTTCAGGAAGAAATTTAAAGTGAGGCTGTTGTTTCTTCATTATTATTAGAATACACTTCTAGTTCTGTATCTGATTCTGGATGGCTGCAATAAGACAGGTTTTGTCTGCCCGCACAGTAGTTAATCTCTGACAAATATTGCTGTTTCAGTACCATTATTTCTGCTGTTTGTTTAAATTAAATTCGAAAGCTTTTTCCTCGGTTTCAAACTCTTTGCTCACAGTGATCCGCTAGGCTACCAGACACATTCTAATTACAACTTTCTCTTCCCTTTGATTGGCGACAGTACACTGGTGAGATTACCGTGATGTACCAGGTAACTGTTGTTCCTGTGTTGACAAGTAAGAAATGGGGGAATAAGGACCTCCCACTGAAGCCTGGCGAGATAATTGATGTCATCACAAAGCCTGTAGATAACAAACTGATTGGTCGAAATCAGGATGGGAAGTGTAAGTGGTCATGTGACAGGATAGTCATGTATGTCTATCCTTATCACTTCATTTATCACAGAAAAAATATTTGAAATGCATTCATTTGAATTACACTAATTCACAGCAAAATTAAAGCAAAACAGTACATATGTAAGCTATTATTAATACAAGTTACAAAATTTTCAGCTCATTGATATGGCTTATCTTTTTTTGTAGTTGGTTATGTCTCAACTAGCAACATTTTGCAAGGGTGAGTAATGGCTCAAAACAATACATTATTCTGTTGCCTTGGGACCTAATCTCACAAAAAGGTGATAGAAATATTGTAAAAATGTATAACGTAGTCTTTATGGACTAAACCTTAGAAGGTTCACATGCCTATTCTGTTGAGAGGGAAAATATGCAATCACAATAAGACTGAAGTACAAATTGCATGCTTGAGAATTCTCATGAAGGAAAAAGATCAATATTTTTATGAGAAAATGTCTGTTGGTTTCTAACAGGGATACTGATGTTTACGATGACGTAGGTGAAGGTATGATGTTTAAGTATTTTTTTTTTATATGCAAGCCCTTGATCAGCCAGTTGTATATCTATGTATATATTTAACTTACACCTCTAACTAGAGGTACCGATTAATTTTATACAGCTGCATGTCCCACAGAAATAATTCAGATTAAGTACCTTTTATGGCAAAATGCAGGCTGGGGCTTGAACTGGTGAACTTTGGATGACAGTTCATTGTTAGCCTGCCTACATTGCCCGCAATATAATTAATAAACTACCAAAGGGAAATTTAGATGTATACTGGCAATAAACGGACCAGAATGTCATTTAAGAACCAAAATGGCACCATGTCTGGCTCAGTTACACCTACAGCAGAGTGGAAGGTGGACTTCATGCAGCCTTGCAGGAGCATTTGGCAGCTTGTAGATGCGACGACGG